TAGATGCTTTTCTTCCACAAGTATTTATCTATTGAGATACAATGAAATGTGCCAACTTTAAAATAACTTAACTCTTGTGTTTAGCCTTCCTTGGCAAAACCTAAAGGCTGCAACAAAGAAGCAAAAGTATGATAAAATATGTGAGAAGAAAGTAGCAACACCTATTGAGGTAAGTGTTTGGACCATTTATCTGAAGTGAAGTGCTTGACCACAATTCTTATTTGTTTCTTATTTCCCACAGGTTTTATGCAAATCTCATCCTGTAGAGTTTGCTTCATACTTTCATTATTGTCACTCTCTGACCTTTGATCAGCGACCTGATTATGGATTCTTGAAGCGCCTATTTCGGGATCTATTTGCTCACGAAGGTGATTATGTTGATCATTTCCTGAATAATATTGAATCAAAGAACTTGCGGATTCTGTCTATATTCCTCTGGAATAGCATATTTGGATATGAAAGTTATTATTATTGTAACTAAAAAATGAGATTCAACATGTCTTTTTAAATTTATCAAAAGAAAAGAAGTGAGCTTTTTAAAAAGAAAAAGGGGAAAAAAAAACCAATATAGACGATATCTATAAATCTGCAATTTTATATTCTACTCACATACTTAGTGTGATGGCTAAACAACACCATCTATGTCCAAATAATCTGTCTGTGTTTTCCTATCTACATTTGTGTCATTTAGCCTTATTGGTATGTGCAGGTTATGAATTTGATTATGTATTTGATTGGACTATTTTAAAGTACCAGCAGGCCCAAAAGAATAGAGTCCAGCCTCGCATATCTGTAAGTATATTTGCTTTACACGTATAGAGGCTTGAGTGTTCCCATGCTTATGATACTAATTTTTGTCATATTGCAGGCACTCCCTGGAGCAAGCATCAGTCCTGCAATGCCAATGGATGTGGACAACAATCGAGGTTGGTGCATGTGAAATTAGTAACATAATTTTTTGTCATCTTGCATAAGCATGTCTTGTTCATTTATTACTTACTGGCAGATATTAATGCTTATTCAGGGGATGTCTCAGCAGAACGCATTAAATCAGGCAATGTTACTGGATCTGGTGTTAAAATTCAGTTTAAATCGCCCATGGTAAAAAATTTGGGTTCTGAAAAGCCTCTTGACAAGAATGTAAGTCATCACTGAGTGAATTTATATGCAACACTTGGACAATTCATTAGTTGCAGTTGCATGCTATTGTGTTTCAATATGAGATAGATCAGTTTTAACATTTAACAGGCATGATTTAATTAATTTATTCATTTACTTGTAGATTTTTGGTGAAGCAAATATACCCTCTACCTCATACTCTCTTGCTGGCACCTCCAAAAGGAACTCCTTGAAGCCTGCCTTGTCCACTGAAGCTGCCAACCCGGTACATGGACAAGGAAGTAATAAAATTGGCCCTTCAAGTAGCTGGATTTCATCTGTGCAGCGCTTATCTTCCGGCAAATGAATACCACTGTGGTAATTTTGTGGTCATAATAAATGTGCTGCTGCAAGTGTTATTGTCAATATGCCCCACTTTATCATTGACTTTATATTATGCTCTTTTTTCAGGTTTGGTTCTGATCAAGAAGGTTCCTGTATACATTTATGGAGCTGCAAATTCATGATATTTGCTTGGTTCAACCTAACATTTTTGGTCAAGAATTTTCATGTGATCTATCTATGGAGACTGCACATGTGCTACAAGGATGATAAATTTCAAAGCTCATCTTCTGAGACCATCTTGTGTTGCTTTTTTTCCTAAGGTGACTGCAAACAATTGTTTGGTATAAATTACAGACTATCCAGGCTTGGTTGCTTTGCTGTAGATAGAATTGAAATGTGACACACAGCAATCTTGTGTATCCATGTGTTTATGTAAAATTAATGCGTGAATGTAGCCCCGTTTTCCCTTTATTGTTACCTGATAATTATCATTTGGCCATATGATATATATATATGGTGACACAATTTCGTATAAATTGATTGATGTTATGAATTGTAGGTGTATTTTCAGGTGTTCTGATAAGATATATTTGATTGTAGTTTTTGGCTTTTGATGGCCATTGACTTTTAGCTGATTATGTTATTCTTGCTGCCTATATAATATATATCATGTTTTGAAGCTTCCATACATGAAATTTGTTTGAAAGTAGGAACCATAATTGTAAAAAGTTTTTCTCATAAATATTTATCATTTGGGTTCTGACTTCTTTCATTATGTCAGATTATTTGTCTCCGATGATGGTAAGTTGCTATTCCTGTCAATGTGATCATGTTTTCAGAGAATCTATGGCAGAATTTTGCAGAATGATTCCTGAAATATTGATTTCTTAAAAGGTAGCTTTTGGTAGCATCTATTTAAAGTTAATTGTAGTGTTATGAGATTTGATGGTTGAAATATTTATTTCATGACTTTTCTTTCTTTTTTTTCATTTAAAGGAAAATCTTCAATATCAAGCCAGTGTCAAATTTTGAATTTTACTCAATTATCCAATAGTTGATAAACAAAGGTGTGCTATTTTAGATTAACTCTTGTCATATTTCTTATTTTTAGGTAGCTTGAATTTGACGGCCAGATTAACTATAGTCATTGTTGGATGAATCTGGTTGTCCATATAAGGTTTGGATAAATTACTGTATTTTTATGTGTTCATAATAAAAATTAATTTCATGGGCAGTCTAATTATCAGTTGAACTTTTTCTTTTTGCAGGATTTCTTATTTTTCTGACAATGGGTTATGATCATGGATCATTGCCAATGGAAACATTGCTATTCATGTATAGCAATCTTGGGAAGTTTGAGAAATATATGCATGCATACAAAGGAAGTTTATTTTCATGCATCGATAGATGTATGCATATGAACGTTGCATATCCGTAGATTTCGTATATTTATCTTTCTATAGAAATTTTAAATATTTAATTAAATGAAAAATAAAATAAAAAATTCATTTTTTTGTGTCTCGTTTTTAATTAAACAGTTATAATTTCCATGGTTTTAAAATTTAAATTATATTCTCTTATTTTAAAATAATTATTTGGTATGAGGTATAATTAGTTAATCAGGTGATTAAATCCAAACATAAAGTGTATCAAAGATTAAAATATATTTTTAAAGGTGCATGAAAAATACTATAAATTTATTTATGCTATAGAGAAGATTGATTTTTTGGCTGTGGAAATAATTATTGAAAATAAAGTTCAAATTAAAAATATAATTATTAAATACTAAAAATAAAATGAAAACTGTATTTAAAAACTCAAAATTTGGAATATATTTTTTCAATTTTAGGGAAATCAAAATGGGAATAATATTAATTTCATTCCTCAATCAGTCATTATAACCCATACTTTCCATTTTTATTTTATAATAATTTGTATACTGTTTTAATCTAATCTCATTCTGGTATGCGGCCCGATTTTATAACAAGTTTATTCGAGAATTATTTGATTTTAAATATCAATATTTCACATCTTATGTTGTGTTGTACAGAAGAGAAAAATACATGAATAATATTACATATTTATATTTTTTAAAATTTCAATATTAAGGTATTTTGATTTGTAAAAGAAAAATTGATCAAAATCAAATTTTCTTTTAAATATTTTATCTACCTTTAATTGAATTGGACAATTTGATTTGTAGTTCATATCAAAACGAAGAATAATAACGAGGTCATAACAGTTACCAATGAAGGGTGAATTAGTGTAAAAAAAAATCAATTAGCAAATATCCATCTTAAACTATTTCTTTAATCCACCTAGACAATATATTTTAAGAAACATTTTGAATTAACCAAGAAATAGAAAGAACAACCAAGAAAGACAAGGAATAAGAAAAGAAAATTATAAATTTGTTGTACTTATTCAATTATATCTAAATCTGAAATTCAAGTCATCCTATTTGGATTGTTTCAGTACTCTTGAAAATCTAAGATATGTACACACTTCAAATAAATGTATTATGCAACACTAAAATACATTCTTGAAAATCCAATGTTTTAAAAATTGGACGGGTTTAACAGGTTAAATTGAAAAGGGTTTAACAGGTTAAATTGAAAACAGAATGTTATATTTGGAAAACCGAATTAGAAATTAGTAAGTTTTTTTTTTTCAAATCATCGATTTTTAATTAAATTAGGATAAAATCAATACAATTTTTAAATTAAACTTAATAAAAAAAATTAGATCAAATTTTTTTAATATAATTTTTTTTATAAAAAATATAATATTTTTTTATATCATTAATTACATTAATTTTAAATAATAACTATGTTATTATATTTTTATATAATTTTAACAATTATTCATCCTATATTTTCTAATATATTTTTTATTGTAATATAATAAAATTTATTATTTAGATATTTTTTTAAATATTAGTATTAATAAATGTATTATATATTTATTATATTATAAAAATATTATTTTATTAAATATGATGGAATTTGATTAAGCTTTTAAATTATAAACCCTATATTATATATATATATATATATATATATATATATATATATATATATATATATATATATATATATATATATATAAACCTACTAACATCTACGTGATGTTACAAGAAATTCAAAAAGAGAAAATAGTGGAATAATACTATGACGAGATTCTACCATGTGCAAACTTATTAAATGTGTAAAATTAATTTCTAAAAAGAAGCAAAATACTTTTAATCTTGAAGATATCTTAAAATTCCTTAACGAAGAGAAAAAATATACATATTTATATGAAAACAAATTTAAGGAGTTATTTTACTTCTTAAATTATTGAACGTCCAGTTGATGAATTTATTTTGTGTTATGTATATGAGAAAAGGAGATACAAAGATGAAATAACCAATTGAAAAATTATGAAGCTTAATTTAGAGGTGTTAGATTCAAAATCATCAGAAAAAAAGTACACAAGTCACATTTCAACAGGTAAAAAATGGGTTGAGGCAATCATCATGTGAGAAGAACTAAAATTCTTAGCCTCGTCTAAGGACTTCACTGAAACTGATTTATCCTCTTCAAAACCTTGAGAACTCTCACTACTTCATTCAGCACAGTTGCTGGATCAGTTGTTTCAACTCCAACCATTGCAGCCAATACTTCAACCTTCTCCTTTGTTTTTCCATCAAGCAGCAACTCCTCCAAACTCACTTCTTCATCTGATTCATCACCACATGCCTCATTGGATGAACCAGTGTCTAACAGAACATCACAATAGCCTGATGAGTCTTCACTTGCTATGAAGGAATTGAAATTGCCAGACTCAGCCTCATCAGCCCTTGCATTGTTTGACTCATTGAATTCCAAGGTAGAAAACATGGGGCAGAATTTGCTGAAGAGGGTGAAGGAAAAAATTGGTGAAGTGTAGAGTTCTTCTTCTCCAAAGGGTACCTTTGAGTTTTCTCTCCAATGATTCATTGTTTATGCTGAGGAGGAACGCTTGAAAGAACAAAGGGTGTTGATATATATATATATATATATATATATATAAGTAAATCAGTGCATGCCTCTTGAAATGCTATAATGATGAGTGTCATCATGTTAGGCAAAATGAAGAAAACAAAGAGAGTAAAAGTGATAAGGTAATTATGGACCACAGAAAGAAACACAAGGTAATTATGGCCATAATTCCATTGGACCATGGTTTTAGAAATTTGGGTGAGGCCTAATACTATAAATGGTCCCATGTTTTGCACACTGCTGTTTCACTACATGGTATATAATATTCCCTTCTGGTATTTCATATCAGATAAACATGTATGAGCTGAAGTTCCATTAAGCCCCACTCCTTTCTCTTTCACACACATGCTTCTTCTAATGCACTCACCCACACACAATTGACACATGATTGAGGAAACTGGATGAGTAGATTGTGCAACCATTGTATACTTTTAAAGATAAAAGGTGATATGTGTGTGTTATGATTCATCAAGTGTGTCTTTAAACATGTTCAAATGTCATGTTAAGCTTCTTTGAACATGAGGAATAGTAATTGAAATAATGCTTAAGATTTTGAATAGAAAATGGTATATATTCTGATTCAAATTCTGTTGTTAAACTTGGAAAATACCCATCAAAATTTGACCAAGGAGGAAGAGGAATGATAAAGGAGAGGCATGAGTGGGAATCAAAGATGTCGTTTTCTGTGAAGGCCTAGAAGAATGATGCACACTACTATCTAGGAAGGTAAAACTGAACTTCACACTCTATTCAATATCATTGCTTCTGTCATTCACTTAGCCACTGAATCCCACCCCAATTCAAGTCAACGCCTCACCGGCCACTACTCATTCTGCATTTCAAGTTTGGGTATCTTTCATATCCAAACTTTTTTTTTTTTTCAATCAATTTCATTCCTAATTTTATAATTATTAAATAATATAACTTTTATGTAAAATATTTTACACTATCATCTAATTGCAATTCATTATTTATATGTAACTTTTCTTTCATTTTAATAAATAATGTTAAAAAATAGTGTGCTGTATTAATTGATTTGAAAATCGGATCTTTCAACTGATATAGAAATTCATACTTTATTTTTAAATAATCAAATTTTAATTAAATTAAAAAAAAATCAGAAAGATTGCGACAAAATCAATATAATTAAAAGAATAAGTTGAATGTTTGGTTGAACCTGTTTTAGTAAAAAGAAAAAAATCAATTTTTTTTATAAAAAATATAGTATATTTTAATTTTGTCAATATATTTGTTAACTATCCAAATTTTAATTACTAAAATAATAATTTACTTTATTCATATTATGATTACATTATTTATCTATTTTTACTAAAACTGAGATATAAAATTAAAATATATTATTAATCAAAATTTTGAATTAAACAACTTTTACTCAAGCACTTTACATTAATATCTGTAATAATTTTAAAGCTAATAAAACATATAAATATATTACTTTGATGGAAAAAAAAACATTTCGAATATTTTTTTTAACTCATTACCTATGTATGTAATGTTTATTGTTTTATTTTAAAAAAAATTACTAAAATTTTTTAAAACTAATATTAATGAATGACACTTCTTTATATTTACATATTTAACTAAAAGTTTAATGATTAGTAGTTATACAATCATAATATATTTGTTAAAATATTAATTTTACAAAATTATTAACTTTTTTATGATTTTAAGAAAAACTAACTAAATAAATAAAATAAAATTTTGTATAATTTGTTAATATTAATTTATATGATAATATTATCATATTTTTTTATTTATCATGTATCTTATATCTATTTATGTTTATAACTATTGTGACACATAAAATTAATTAATATTATTAATTATAATATCAAAATAAATATTTTTTCAAGATATTAATTATAATTTTATAATCTTATATATAGAATTTTTATATAGTAAAAATTAGTTATTTAAATTAAATATGATTTTTTAGTTAAAGTTATCCAAATTAAGAGTAAATTTTCAGAAAACTATATTAATTTTAATTATATTTTTTATTTAAATATAATTTATCACTGTTATTATGTACACACGGGAATATGATTATAACTTATGTTTTTATCCTCTAAAATTCACTATTACAAAAATCAACAAGTTATGTTATATACTATTTTTTCTTTATAATAATATATTTAACAAATAATGTAATGATAATATCTTTTAAGTGTTTAATATCACTGATTTTATTCCATCATTTAATCACATATCACCATTTATATACTTTTTAAGATTATTATTATTATTATTATAAAAATCAACCATTATTATATATAACAGTTTCTTACTTAATGAGAATATAGAGTTCTTACTCAATAAAAGAATTAGACTCGCAGTGTCTGTTTCTTATTGAATGAGAGTGTAAAAAAGTTCTATATTTTAAATTTATCTTTTTTTTCTCTTTCTCTGCATTAATTTATATACAATATTGTGGAAATTGGCACTTTTTCACGTGGCAAAGTCAAAGTAAATATGTGACATTTGGGCGTTGAAAAAGTTGGTGTTATTGCCAAAATCATAGAAATTTGCTGCAAGGGTCATTTGTAAAATCATTATTCCATCATCTATAAGAAAAATGGACTTACTTATGATACATTCCTTGACTCAAAACAACCTCAACAAAGAATACTACTTCCTTGCCACAATTTTTTATGAAGTCCCCAAAATTGTCATGATCACTCACATGAAAACTACTCCAACTCCCTACTAAAGTCAACATTATCTACAAAAACCTGTGTTAGAGAAGAGGAAAACAAGTTAGTCACAGATGTAATGGGTTAATATACTTTTTTAGTTCATTATCTGTTTTTTTGGTTACAGTTTGGTCCTGAAGTTTATGAAGTTCCATTTTAATCCCTTAAAAGTGTCTCATGCTAATGTCATGAATTATGATGACATGGAAAATGCCCTTCTAATGTAGCATTTTTCACAGTTTGTCATGTATCACCAAGTTGACTGATTAAGGAGACACTTTAAGGAACCAATGTGAAAACTTTTCAAACTTGAGGGAGACTAAACTAAAACCAAAATATAACGAGGGACCAAAAGTGTATTTTAACAAAAATAATGAATACACAACAGATATGAAATAGAGCAGAAAATGTCCACAGAAGCATACAGTTTTCCAACCATCAGGGTCCACACATGATGTGATCTTTGTCTTTATATCAGGTATTGGTCCAGGTTCACGAATAATCTTCCCTCCAGCAAGTTTAATTGCTTCTGCAGTTTTGTACACATCCTCTGTAGCAATTGCAATCTATGAACACAAAGAAAATGTTAACAAAGAAACACAAGATAGCAAGCAATTCAATGAAAAATTTCATACGAACACTCAGCCATGATCTTTAGAAAAGAAAAAAACAGTAAAATTGGAATAATGAACACTACTTAGCAGATGCTCAAATGACATTGTGAAGGATGAAAAGGACGAAGAACTTCTGTTTACCTGAGCATAAGCGTCTCCTTTATCATATTCTGTGACTCCATAATTGTAAGTCAACTCCAGGACAGCATTTTTTTCCTCTGGGCCATAACCCAGTATTGCTATTGTGTTCTTCCAAAAAGGGAAGAAAAAAACCCATAAATGATCGAGATCGCAGGTGAAGCAAAAGCAATCACGGGAAACAATTTTTAGGCCAATAAAGCAAACAAGACTGGACCAACGGGTAAAGATGGCTTATACCTCAAAAGACCAATGGATGATACATGTATTTCAAAAGAAACATAAATCTGAAAGCATATGCTAGTTAAAAGATGTAGAATATTTCCTTAAAAATGAGTGAATAAACTAAAAGCAGGATTGTTGGTCATATGGCTGCATTTTCATAATTACATTGGATGTGTCTTCAAGACAGGTGTAAGCTAACAAGGAACTGGTTTGCCAACCTTCATAGGTAATTTTAAGGACAATTGCAGTGACTTCTCAAACCAATTAAGTACAAATGGATTGTATCGGAAGCAGAAACAAAATAAAACCTCAGTGTAACATTAGTATTCTTTTTCATTTGTCTTTAAAACTATAAATGGACGCCTATGAAATCATAACTCGATAAAGAGGAAAAGAGATGTTGTATACAACTTTTATGTTCAGGCACAAGCTTTTCAACAAACCTCTGATAGCCCCAGGAAAAAAGGAAAGTTTTTCACTCAGCTATAGGATTTTACATAATAAAATACAAAAATAGTCATGTGGTAGGACACATATACAGAAATGAGGAGTTTTCACTCATGTTATATAGGATTTTACATAATAAAATACAAAAATAGTCATGTTATATAGGATTTTTCACTCAGTTGATAGCTCATACAGTTATATCACAATGTCATTTTTCGTAGTACAACCCCAAAAAGTGTTCATCTTAGAGGGTTGACTAGAAAGGGATCTTGTCCCTCTTTCCCTCAAGTTTAACTTTTCCACATAGATAAAATGGTATCAGAAACATAGGCAGAAGAGCCCCCACGATCAGATATAAATCCTAAATCTTGTCTATATTTTAATTGTTTAGTTTGAAATGCTAAGCATATTTAGATGCATTAAAAGATCTCAGTTCCAAATATATGTCACAGAATGGATATCATGGGCACCTTGGATTCTGGATCATCTTGTGTTCGAAGTAGCTCCATACCAAAAGCCTAACCAGCAAGTAATCACAAACAAATAAATGTTTTGTATAGAAAATAAGAACACTGCAAACCAACATAAAATTGCATTGACCCTCACCTTCTCGTAAAATTTAATGGAACGGTCAAGATCACCCACTCGAAGCATTACTTTGCACAAAGGATCCGGAGAGGCAGCCCTTTCCAAAAGTTCAAATTGATAACCATCAGGATCCTCAATGCATGCAACTACTTTGTTGCTTCCCTTGGCAAGCGTAGGCTCCCTAGTAATTTTGCCACCCTTAGCTCTCACAAGATCCACTATTCTTGAAATCTAGTAAATAATTATTAAGACAAGGAAATTCCATATTGTACACTGGTCAGAAAGAACAAGGAAATCCCAACTGAAAACCACTACTGCATCTCCCTCCTCACAATAATAACAATAAAATGATACATTTGGAACAGTTCACACAAAAAATATTCTTCCCCAGTAATGAACTTTACAAAGCATAGCAACAAGTTTGGCAAACTCACATCATCCACTGCAAGACCAAAATGGCCAAATCCATCTCCAATGTCATACTTGTCAATCCCATAATCTGAAACATTGTTAAAGGAGAATCAACATTAACAGAAAGGTTTCCACTTCTCAAGAATGTAAAACAAATTTCACAAAATGCAAAGTTCTGGAATTATTAGGAATGTCAACAACTCTTACTGTATGTCAGTTCAACAGCAAAGTGTGCATCCTCAGGCCCATATCCAAGAAAGGCATTAGTATGTCTCTGCTCTTGCATGTCTCGCTTTCTGAGCAACTTCATTCCGAGACACTCTTTATAAAATCTGAAATCACAAGAAGAAGTTTGTTTCTCCCATAAGAATGACCAATGTGAAGAATTATATAGATCATTACTTTGTAGTTATTTAATCTTGGACATACTTTATGGTCTTTTCCAAGTCCCCAACTCGATACACAACATGAAGCATTCTCCTCTTGTCATGTTTGACCCAATCTAGTGCATTTTCCTGTGTAGCAGCTGAGGACATATCCCCAGATGCCATCACTCTCATGCAGCTATCATCATCATGCCTCGAAAACTTAGAAGCTTTCAGGCCAAAATTATGTAACAGTCTAATACCTGCATAAAGTAACCCAAGAACAATCTCAGTTGATAAAAATCACACTCACACACCTCAAAATGCATGAGTGTCAATCCTTGTTAAAATCATGTGTGAAGAACATGCCAAATGCAACATTAATATAAATGAGCAGGATTTTATAATAAAAATATGAAAACCCATTTTAATTTGGGTATAAAAGCGTGGACTGATCAAATGGTGGATGAAAAAGATGGCATCTTCGGGGACTATTTGCAAAAGGGTCAGAGACAGAGAGATGGTTCGGTCTTACGGTTACCCAGATGAAAAAGACTGAGCTTTTGAGAAGGGTTGCAAGAAGAGAGGGAGGGTAACATGAAGGAAGAAAGTGAGGGACGAATTGAAGAAGCCATGGCCAAACAAGGGAAAGAAAAGATTAACAAACTCTTTAAAGGTTTAAAACAAGATTAAGATGATTGGGTTCTTTTAAAGAGACCAGATCAAATGGTTCAACCAAATTTTCTTTTATCTCATTATTAATATAATAACTTCTTTCTGTGTATTCCTGATAAATTAGATCCAAGATTCTTGATATTATGTATAACTCTTAATTTGTTTAAGTTTTAATTATTCATGCTTTTGAAAAATATATATTTTAGTTCTTACATATATTATTTAGAATTTCTTTTAATTCCTACACTAGAAGAGATTATAATATATAAAATTCAAAAAAAAAAGTATGTATAGAAATTAAAATATATAAATTTTTCAAGGGTAAGTATTAAAAAGTAAAATTTATAGAACTAAATGTAATTACTTTTTATTTTATAGAAATGTCTCTTAGACACTATTTGATATAATATTATTATTCAAACAATTAAAAAAGTATTAATTTAATATTTTAAAAATAAATATGAGAAGTTAATTTAGAAGTAAAGGATAATATAAAGTTATTCAAGTGTAACGTATTTTAAATAATTAAAAGAAATAAATGAATTTATATATTAAAATTATAAAATTTTATCTTTAAATTTAAGTGACTTGATAACAAAACATATATCCAATATTAAGGTTTTATAAAATCTTATAATTTCAAGTGAGCTTATCATGTTATATTATTTTTAAAAAATTGTAATCATATTTTTTTATAAACATTTATTTATATTTCAACTTTTTATAATTTAAAAAATTAATTCAGTTATATAATTAAATATATTTTTATTTTAAATTATAAAATCTTAAATAAAATCTGTTCTTAAATTTAAGATCCATAATATATTTTGTTTCATTTGAGTTATTGGTCATTTCTATCTTCTAAATCATAAATATTATCTTTTAATTTTCAATTCTAACTTCTGCTATTACTCATATTTGAAAGTTATAAGGTATAATTAAATTACAATTTTACTTGTAAATTTTGTGTATTTAGTAAATTAATGTTACTAAGCTGTTAAAAATAATATATTTATTCAACGCATTTTCTTAAAATGTTTAAAATAATTTTTAAACACACAAACATTTTTTATTTTATTTTAACAATTAATTATGTTTTTTCATCTTTGCTATATTCCTACCTACCGTGTTTCATCTTTATCAATAATGTCAATTACTAAAACAGTGGTTGGTGGCTTCTCCACATTATTTTTTGTTTTGTTTTGAATCAATGAATATACCCTATCATTTTAAAATATAAAATGATTAAATTATATATATATATATATATATATATATATTATGAGCAAAAGAAGAAAAATCAAATCGAATTTACTAATATTATTGTTTAAATAATGAGTTAATGAACTCAACTTGCATAACTCATTCTCCATAAGAAGTGAACTGAATTTAATTTACTAGTTTTTTTTAATAACAAAAATATAAAATTGTCATTATTAATTAAAAATTAACAGCTAATAATTATTATATAATTTATAATGCTTATTTCTATTAATCAAGAATTATAATTTCATATTTCCCATGAATGTATCTCTATAGCCCATAAATTATAGACATGTATTAATAAAATTTTTGCTTTTCTAGATGTTATTTTGATTTTTTAATAAAATATTTTTACAAAACTATAAAATTATCAATATATATATATATATATATATATATATATATATATATATATAAAAACATTTAATTTAATAAGGTTGATTTGTGTTGAATTAATTAAAAAATATATAGATCTGATTGACCTACCTAATTATATCTGTCATAAAAAAAATAAAAAATAGAAATAGAAATAAAAAAAAAATGTGAATATATAAGATGGGATCCAACGTAAGAATCACATTGGCAACACCAACATTAAAAAAATTACATTTTATTTTTTAATATGTTATCCTTTAAAGCATTTTCTCTATTACAGTCTCAACAATCTTCTACTGATGATACATAAAGGATGCAGGCTTGACCTAGGGTTTTGATCATCGCTCTTCCCAATTTCAGGTATACTATCTTTTTCCCTTTTTCTGTTGTCTTCTTAATTTTTTCAATCATTGGCATGTGAACCCTTATTTCCTTGATTTAAATTTATGATTTTATTTTTTTATTCTTCTTCTCCCATCCTGCATCTCACAGAGAAGCTTTGGATCTCCTATTTGAGCCTTATCCATTTTTCTTATCCTTCAAGCAACGGTCTGGGAACCAAAGTTTCCGAATTGAGGAGAAAAAAAGCATGCTCTTGTAGCTGGTGATTTGGCCTAAGGCTTTTGGCTTCTCCAGTTTGGTGTCAGAAGCAAGAATTTCTAACATGTTGGAAGAGTAAGAGAGAGAAGATTTGGATCACGGGTAAGGTGAGGTCTTTCACTTGATTCACACCATTGCTTGTAAATCTGCAGTAGATTTTGAAATTCTAGTTGAAAGTGTTTTGTTTTGGTAGATTTTTTATTTATTTATTTTAATTATTTGTTTATTGGACTGTAACGTGCCCTAGATGGCGTATGATGCTTCAAAGGAGTCTTCAGCTTCCTTATGGAATTTTGTATTGATGAAATCTGGCCCATCCTTGATAATATAGATATGAATAAGTTTTTTGTTTTATGTTTGTTTCCTTAAGTGAAAGAGGAAAACTTAGTTATAGTTCTTTAGATGTTGTTTGTGTTGTTCTCCAATCAAAATTGGAGTTTCATCTCAATATTCCACCAAATCGTTCATATAAACTATTCTAATGCGGATTTTTGAGGTGAAATTTCAATTTTAATCAGATAACAACACAAACATTACTTAAGAAACTTATCTAAGTGTTTTCCTAAATTAAAACCATGATTGTGTTAACATTTTTCACTCTATCAGCCTATGGGATGGCACTGATAATGCTTGTCTTGTTTGATTTCAAATTAAAAATACTGATATTCAGTAAACCTGTGTTGTGACCCTGATAATGGCCTGCGTTGTTTGACTTCAAACTTCAATGCAGATATTTGAGGATGGTTTCTTCCAGTGAAAAGGTGTGTGTGGGGTGATGAATATCAAGTATTATGAAAGATAAGGAAATCAAGCTGTTTGATCTGTTTTGAACTTTGATAGGCTTGGATATTACAATATGGAGGATGAGAGTGGGCTTGAGCTCAGTTTGGGTTTATCTTGTGGTGGATCATCTTCCAAACTCAAGGGTAAAAATGGTAGCTCCTCAGATACTAGGGGTGAAGAAGTTGGTAGAGGTGGCAAAATGGTGGATGACTTTAAGAGCATGTTTGACAACGCTCCTCAGAAGCCAGAATCTATTAGTGGGACTCGAAGAACTGATTCCCCAAAGCCTGAGGAGAACTTCTTTAGTGACCTTTCAAAGGCCAAAGACGAGAATGCTTCTTTGAATTTAAATGGCAGAGGATTTCTGGTTGCAAATAGTAGTAAACCTATTGAAATTGAGGATGATAAACGGTCAGAGGCAGCAAATAAGCGAAAGATGACTTTCGATGAGATACGAAATCCAAAGAAGCATGAGAGTGATGTCCACCATGCTGATTTACATGACAGGGCTAGAACATCTCATATTTCTATAACAGAAGATGGTTCAACTGCAGAAAATGAAGATGTTGCTGACTCTGAAACTGAGAACTCCTCCTCTAGGCCCATTTCACACCACAGTGATGGTTCCAAAGGATTCATCAGGGTCGGTTCTTCTTCCGATGCTGCAAAAGAGGTTCGTGGAAGTGCTGACTCAAATGCTACCGACTTTAGTGGGCAGAAGAGGTTTACTGGGTCATCAGAAAAAGATTTTAAGCATGCAAACTTGACTTACAGTGCTTCCTTTTCTGTTCAACCTGTAAATATGATGAATGTATCTTACCCTTCTCCAGTAAAAGAGTCTAGCTCTGTAGGGGCGCCAGGCTCTCAGATACATGGAGTGATGCATGTAATGCCTGCTGCAACTGGTGAACGGACAGGAACCCAATCAGTGAATAATGGGAGTCTGCCGGTGATGTTTGGATATCCTCCTGTTCAGCTTCCCATGTTGGAGAAGGACCAGTCATGGGGTTTGATTTCTCATCCTCAACAATTACACTCTTCTTTTGTTGGCAGGGGTCCAACTAACCCAGGTACTTTTTATATGAATGGAACATATTGGTAAAAATCTTTATTACTCAAAACCACCTCCGTAGAAGTGATTGATAAATTGTTAAAATGTTTTGGATTGTGTATATATTCTAGAATGGATCATGGTCGCAAGATTGATAAATTAAACCAAATATGTTAAATGTCATGTAAGATTGAAATATTAAACTTGTAACCCATTTATGTCAGAAAAGTTATCACTGTTATAAATGTTTGTATTTCTGTGAAGACTGCAACGTATTATGGTTCTGTATTAACTGCAAGCTCAATTATAATGTTACCATATGGATATAGCTACACTACAAGTAATCTCAAACAACGTATCGGAGGCTAAACCATTCGAAGGAAGGCCATTAGATCGTACCAAAGGAGATGGTAAACAGCGAGTCACCGAAGAAGGCTCCTCTTCACAACCTGAAGATGTGAAAGGAAGAAGCACAAACCTTAGGGCCAAAGATATACCAGACCAACCAACAGAAGGTTCCGTCATTGATTTTTCAAATATTAAGCCCGGTCTTGCTGCAGATGTTAAATTTGGTGGATGTGGTTCCTATCCAAATCTGCCTTGGGTATCCACCTCAGGTTCCGGTCCAAATGGCAGGACTATATCTGGTGTTACTTACCGATATAGCACTAACCAAGTTAGAATTGTCTGTGCATGCCATGGTTCTCACATGACCCCTGAGGAGTTCGTTCGCCATGCAAACGAAGACCAGGCTGCCGCAGAGGGCAGTGGAGTTTTGGGGACTGTAGCAAACGGCAATCCTGCTGCCTCTTCCCATGGCTAGTCTTGTGCCGTTTAAGTTGTACCTTAATATTGAAGTTCTCAACAGGAGAATCATGGAAATCTGGCCTTAATTTTTGTATAGATGAATGAGATTCCTACCATTTTTCTGTACACACTTTGATGACTTATTTGTCTATTCCTCTTTATTTACTTGTAGCCAATGCAATCAAGCTTGCAGTTGTATGTAATAAGGGCCCAGCTAGCATCATCTTTCTACGGATCAATATAGTTATGTTATTTCCAGATTGCTAAGGACGTGTTGGGCACTAAAACGAACTTCAAAAGGTGAGGATAACCAATCCCTTGTAGCCATTACATATAAGCTTTTCTTAGAGCATGCTGAGGAACTAGTTCTTATCCAGTTTCACCATTAGAGCAATTGACGTCGCAGTTCTTATACAAGTAATGATTGCATGTATAAACAAAAATTCTTAAGAATGAGAGTCTTGTTTGAAATTCTTTAATTTAATATTATTATAAAGAACATTTATTTGAAGTTTAAAATTTCATATGACAATATAGGAGCTAAAATGAGTCAATGGTTACACCAGTTACTCCAAAGTATTGAAGAAGTAATGTACGCGCAGGAATACAAGAAACGTTATGCATATCATTACGCTGGCTTTTCCAACACGTGTGGTTATGATTACACGTTGCTTTGAATGTTGTATATTATTATTGTTAATCCCTGCTAAAAGTAATGTTTTCTTCTCAATTATCAAACGTCAAGCTTCCAGAAAACCTGCCACCCATTTTCCACTTCCACCGATGCTGTTGTCTCCCAAACTCCATTCGAGAAACGTGGTAAGGCCATTCAAAAGGGATATGGACAAAAATCACTTCCAGATCACTCTATTTCTCAAGGGAATTAATGACCCTCCTGAACTACCATTTTCCTTTGTTTTCTCCATGTCCAAACTGAGCCTCACTTGTTGCAAAGTATATTAATGAGAGATGAAGAGTTGTTAAAACTTCCATTTCTGCCTAGGGAGCTTCAAATCTTACATATTTACCACATTTTTTTTTCCTGTTAATATCATTTTGTTTTTTGTCTTAACACACTTACACTATTAGTTTGTTATCTAGCCATGGGTTTAAAAGTGTGGTAACACGTGATTCAACATTGATAATACTATATCAAAATTAAACTCTTACTTCTACTCTTTCTTCCTCATCTTGCAACATGTAATAAATAATAATCATTCAAATCTAGTTGTTATATTTTAAATTTAGAGATTAAATATGGTAACATGCCAAAGGGCTATAATTTCACCATGACTCTTTCGTGTTTATCACGTATCATTAGTATTATCTTTTGCACTGGTCTTGTCACCATAGAAGCATGAAAAACAATGAAAACAAAAGCATTGCTTTGACCAAATGTGTTACATAACCTTCTACATCTTTGCTACGAAGTCTTGCAACATCACAGCTTTTATTAGGCAGCAGCAAGACAAGCATGTCCTTTATTGATTGCTTTATTATAGTTGACTAAATCAAACTTGGTATTTGTATATTCACATATCTTTTCAACACTTTCTTTTTTAAGTTTCTTTTGCAGGGTCAGCGAAACTAGTGCAGTTAACTTGGCCTCTATTAGTAAAATATAAGAACTGAGAGGAATATAACAGGTTGTTTGTTAGGAAGGTTAGTGAAGGATTCATGATCATCATTGAACATCGATAATATATTAATTCAGATAAAGCTATATTAGTCGCATATTCAAACAGCACCACAGATTCTACAGTTGATGCAGCCAGATCAGACTATCTTTTTCATTTCAATCTAATTTTTTCATGTACTTTTAGGTTGATAATTAGATCATAATACCACTTTTCAAAAACGTGTGGCATTTCTGATGGGTTAAGATCCATGTCTTGAAGGTTTGCCTAAGCTGCAAGAGCAGCTGCAAAGGTAGATTGAACTCAACTCCTTGACTCATGGGATGTGATGTGATAACTACCATTTTTTTTTTTTTGGTTTTCCAAGGCTATTTCCCCACCATTTGGTCATGAAGGCATGCCTAAACCCTCGTCACAAATGACTTTTGTCTTCTCCTTGAAGCATAGTTTACCTACCACTGTTCCCAATCTTTTGTGGGGTTTACTACCTTTGACATTGTCATCCACATATCCCTTATGTAAATTTAAAAAAAAAAAAATACATGCATAGAAAGTGTAAATATCTTTTACACCGTAATTTAATTACACAAATAATCGTATATAACAAAGTCTGATGATTTTAATGATAACTACCTTTAAAATCATGTCAAAGAAGATTTTCATTTCAACTAATCGATAGGGGAAGCATATTAAACACTTCTAAGAGACGTATGTACTGATATGGATTTTTCATGTATCAGATTAAGTAGTACTGAGAAAACCAAAACGAGGTTAAGTTCAAAATTCAAATTCATACGCAAGGTAAAATTAAGAGTAATGTTCCTTGTCTTATTACCAGCAAGGTGGCGTAAGAATTAAAATAGAAAACTTTGCTTTGTCATACCTTGTGTCATTGAGACACGCCTACAAAGTCAAAAACCCGAGTTAAACACAATTGTAGGCCACCCCCACCACCTTGTGGTCACAACTGAGTCCTGAATATTTTAATGACATTTTAAATGAAGAATCAATTTGAGACGCAAAACGTAACCTGAGAAGAAACCAAGAAAACTGACATAAGGAAGGTTACCATTTGGGGGAGAATCATTGAATAATGTCCATGCACAACAACCCCATTATAAACATATAAGCCTCAACTAATCAATTGGAACTTCTGCGGCAGAATGCTTGAGGAGAACCAGAATCATGAATCAGTTTGGTGTTATCCTTTTTGTTCTCTCGGTCTTGTTCCTCCATGTCAGAGCACAGACTGCAGAACCTTCAGGAGATGCTGTCTCCAATTTCCAGCCAAGCCTTGCAGTTGTCATAGGAATCCTTGGTGTCATGTTTCTACTGACATTCTTTCTTCTCATGTATGCGAAATTCTGTCAACACCACGGCTCTTCAGCCTCTCTTGGGGACCAAGAAAATCTACCAACTTTTGTGAGATCAAGGTCTAGATTCTCAGGAATTGACAAGACTGTCATAGAATCACTCCCCTTCTTTAGATTCTCTTCACTCAAAGGGTCAAAGGAAGGGCTGGAGTGTGCAGTGTGCCTATCAAAGTTTGAAGATGTTGAAGTTCTCAGACTTCTACCAAAGTGCAAGCATGCTTTTCATATTGATTGCATAGACAACTGGCTTGAAAGGCACTCTAGCTGTCCTATTTGCAGGCACAAGGTCAATCCAGAGGACCACACAACCTTCACATATACAAACAGTTTAAGGAGGCTAGCAAACCAATCAGGTCTAGGTGAAGAATCTAACATAGAGATCTTTGTCCAGAGAGAGGAAGAGCATCATGGTTCATCAAGATTCAGTATTGGAAGCAGCTTTCGGAAAACGGGAAATGATGTCAAAGAAGAAGAATTGCTCATCCAAAAGGGAGCAGAAGATAGTGATGGTAACCAGAAGGGGTATCATAAACACAACCACATGATTACTATATCTGATGTTGTGTTCAAACACAGGTGGAGCAACGTGAGTTCTTCAGACCTTATGTTTTTGAATTCGGAGATGTTGAATGCTACATCAAGCAACAGATTCAGCAACTTCGAATCAAATGCTGACCTGACAACCCCAAGAGAGCTGGTAGAAAATGAGCAAATTATGAACATCAAGGAGGAGATGGAAAGGAAGATTTCCTTTGAGAGCAAAGTTAGTGCATTAAGCAACATCAAATCAGTTTCAGATAACGATCGTCCTTTTACATCAGATTCTGCAGGAAAATCAAGTCATGCACCAAAGTCTGTGAACCCTGGTGAGAAAAGGTCAATGTCAGAAATCACTGCTGTCTCTAGATTTGGAGATTTAGGCATGAAAATGAGGGTATTCAAGGATTCTTCTTCTGTTCAGAACAACCTTAGAGAGGAAAGAATGAGGCAGATTTGGTTTCCAATAGCTAAAAGAACAGCTCAATGGTTTGTGAATAGAGAAAAAAGGTCTCAGCTATCTCTGAATATACAACAACCAAATGATGTATAATCCAATTCAACCTTCCTGAGGTGCACATGATTGGTTTCAGTCCTTGTTCAACAACTTCCTGTAGATTTTAGGTTGTTTTTGTTAAATAGTATACAGTGAAGCAAAGCAGGTACAGATTCCTTGTTTTCGTTTCAATTAATCTCTCTATTTTTTAATTCTTATGATCTGCATAAAAACTTTGTTAATTTTTCTGACAGAAATTTTAAGGACCCCTCCTGACCAGAGTAACAGAAACCCAAACTTAAAATTGTATCTCCTTTTTCATTTCATAATCAATTTTCTATTGATTTTCAACAAGAATCATAGAAAACAGCTTCATGCCGTTGTGCTCAATAATGCAGTGTATATGTGTGTGTCAACCCTTCAATTTGAATATGTTCATCTTGGTCATAGTTTATCTCTTCTATTCTCTTTTGCCAAACATATAAACATTGCACATTATTAACAACTGAACTTAGGAAACAAGTAGCTGAATAAGGCCATAGTTTCATTAATCAAACAAGTTTTTTATTCCATCCTTTTCTTTTCTTTAACTATTTTTATTAAACAAGAGGAAAAAATGGATCAGTCCAAAAGTTCAAAAAACTAATGTACTAATATTTGATTAAGCAAGTTAATTAGTTTTTATATGCTTAACCAATCCTAAAATTTCTAACCCCTCCAAAGTTCTGCTCTTCTCTTCTCTTGAATTTTCCCCCCTATGGATTGCGTAAAGTCAACCAATGGAAAAATAAAACTAAAAAAGTCTGTAATTTACGTCATTAGGCTGAATAATGGCCTATAATATGCATAACTTGAAGAAGCCTTTCAAAGTAAGAGGCTGCTTTTGTTAGTTTCTTTTGTCTGAAGTGTGCATATTAATTCATGGCGAAAGAGAGGCAATACAATACACAAAAAATAAGGTCGATCCCTCTGTCTTGAAGGCGAAATGAAGGATGGTATTGCCAAATGTGACCTCAGCATTTATATCAGCCATTTTTTACACATCATCTCTGTCTGCTATGTTAGTAGTTTTGTACTAAGCAGATCTAAAGTTGGCTAGGTGCTACACGGACAAGGTTCTTAAGTGGTCCATAAAAACTTATTTTAAGAGTATTTTATGCGTCATGATAGCTTAGTTTTTAACATTAAGTATTATTGCATGTGTCAATGTAGTTTTACATTGGATACATTTTTTCAGGGGTAGGTCTCCTTCTGATGATCAGATTAAAATATTTTGGTTTGGATAATGGGGGGAAGCGATCAAATAAAAAAACAAAGTTGAAAACAGGTAATGAATACATATCTGAATGTCTTCTTAACTGCCTTATAATTTGTAAGTGCACCAATTTGAATGTTAAATTACATTTTATTTCCCTTTCCCCACTTTTTCTCTTAATAATGTGTTTTGTTTTTATTTTATTTTTTAAAGGAAAGGCATTTTGAATCTTGACGTGAAAGATCACTCACTCTGAATTGCCACCATCACATATTATATTAGAGAAAAGGAGATAAGAAGCACTAAAATGAACATGCATTTGCATGAAAGAAAAGCAATTCTAGTATGTTACCCAAAATTGGAACGACAACCTTTTTGCTCTCTTTAATTCATGGGACAAATTTGGATCAATCCACCGCACAACTAAACGTGACAATCTGGAAGTAACACTGGGTTGCTTTTTTTTGTGACTGGTTATGTGAAACAATAATCGTATTTGTGACTGTAAACCATACACTGCTATTAAATTTAGAATCATGTTTTTGGTACAATTTTCAACAATATTTTTATTTGTAATATTTCTTCTTTTTATCCTTTTTCATCGTATTAATTATTTTTCATCGTATTAATTATCTTATTTCACATTTCTCTAATTTCTTCGTATATCTTTTCGAATAAAAAAAATACAAATTATTTACACAAATAATTTTGTTAACTTCATCAAGAAACAATATACTTTTCCTTTTTTCACAACGTAAAACTTCCCATAATAAAAGGTGTGTTGTCACCAATAATCCTAAACCAACAACAAAACTATATTTATCATGTATTTACTGAAATGTTAACTATGAATGGTGAGATCAATGAAAGTATAACATCCAGTGGATGTAGATATTAAAAACAAGTGTCATGTAACATGTGTAGCATAATGAAAAGAAAAGAAATAAAGATATCACTAAATGAATAACACTGTTGTCAAGATGATCAATCAAATACGAAAGTGTTGTGTGTTAGAATGAGATATAATCCCCAAATGTCTAACATGAAAGGACGGCGGCATACTTGATTTGGACACAACCAAAAGTCGCGTAAGAACAAAAATAAAGAATATTGGTCAGCAACAAAACTAATTTGCATGGATTGCAATTGACAATGAAAAAAAAAAAAATCAATCATTTACACTTATATAATAATATTTACAGGGGAGGGGAATTACCCCCAAAAAAAATTAGAAAAGGGAAGAGATGAAGAAGATAATAAACCTACCCTACCCAGTACCCTGCAACTAAAAGATTCAAACTATAGGGAATATTTTGCCTCTGTTGCTCTGTTTGCATTTTCTGGTTAACTGCATTCTTTGATAGCAATTTGTCCAAATAAGAAATGGTAAATATTGGTCGGAGCCGAACATCAAAAAGCAGACGAAACTTAATGTCGATTCTTCTACCAGTCCTCAAGCCATTCAGGCACATTAAGTTCTTCTACCTCCTGTACAGGGGAGCCCAGATAGAGACTACTACAATCCTCAGAATGAACTTCCAAGTACTGTGTTATCCGAGAAATAATTTCCTTAGGAACAGGAACAGTGTGGTTTCTAATCCCTTCCCATTGAATACCATTAAACCATGGGTGACTCTTGACAGAATCAGGACCTTGGCTACCAAGTCTAGAGTTTTCTTCCACTTCAAGTAGCTGAACCAATCAGTCACATAAAATCCAAATAGAGTAAGTACGCATATGTTCTCAAGCATGCATTCAAACTACACAGACTATCTTGAGAAAGAGAGTCTTAGTTCTTGCGATACCTTGGAGATGAGATCAGCCGTCTCAGGGCTAAAAGTTTCGGGAAGATGTAGCTTCCTTTTTGCAATTTTGGCAACTGTATCGAGTTCATTTTCTCTCCATGATCCAAATGGCATCTCACCACGTAACATAAAATATATTAAAACTCCCAATGCCCACCTGCATAATCATCAATGAAGTTTGTCAGTTTGACATCCATAAAATGCTATCAAGAAACATATGTTAAATACCTTTCCATCCAATTTGATGCAATCCAAGTCAGTCGTAATTATAATCGTACTGATTACAATTCAAAGGAAGTTTTAATTATAGATTCAGTATATGCTATACTAATTTAGGTTACCTTTATACTGAGGAAATAAAGACAAGTTTGCTACTGACAAGAGGAATTTTGCGGTTTAAGGAGAATTAATGTGTTTGGACAAGGTTTTATTTTATACCAGTCCGCAGGGAAACCGTGGCCTTTTCCCAAAACAATCTCTGGAGCAAGAGAATCTGCCATCCCACAAATTGTGAATGTTCTCTCACCAGAAAGCTGTTTTCCAAATCTGAAGTCCACCAGCTGCAACCAGTATAAAGAATAATTGATCAGGTATACGCATATTTACAGTCTTTAACATGGCTGCCATGCATCCATCATTTGCCACAATGTCATCTGTCATAACTTAATGGAAGATTCACCATTAAGAGCACTGATAAACATGGATACGTTGAAAAGCAATCAAACAAAAGTTCCCAAACCTGTATCTGTCCTGTTTGCTCCAACATCAAAACATCAGGTGATACACCTCTGTAGAGAACACCATTCTGAAATTCAAGTATGCAATGAATAAAGGAAAGGAAAACCTTTGTCACATGCCAAAGAAGGTGTAAAACCCGAAGACAATAATCATTTACGTGCAATACCTTGTGCAAGTCTTCTAAGGCAGTAACAACAGATGCAGCACAAAATTGCGCTGCTGATTCACTAAAAGGACTTGAAAGTATGGAAGACAAAGGGCAAGCAAGGCGAGTATTTAGCAGGATTCCAGCATACATGCGATCAGCACAAGTGCATAAAACCTGTGGTATACAAGCTGAAGAGCCCATACCCTTAATCAAATCTTTCTCTTTCATGACTTGTGATTCCTTTCCAAACCTTCTCACCTTTGGCTTAGAAAATCTCTTCAGTGTAAGCAAATTTTCTGTATCAAAATGTATTCATGCCGCAAATTTTATTAGCAAAGTCAAAATACAGCATACACCATTTTTATCACTATGGCGTACATTGAATGCTATTAATAGATGCAGGAAAAGGCAACCAAGATACCTAAGAAGAAAAAAAGTCATAATTTTAAGAAAATATTGATATTTTGGCCACTAAAAGATTATCTATTTGTCCTGTCAAATATTTTTCACATCCGCTAATCACTACATCAATCTTCAAATTAGATTAATTAAGAAGAGAACAAATCCTCCAAAGATTGGGAAGGTTTTTACCAATTTCATTTATAAAATGACTTGATTGAGTCACATTCAGGGAATTGAATTGTTGATCACTTGATGTAAAAAGTAAAAATTTGAAATATTAAGTTTATGAAAATCCATTATTTCCAGGATTAAATCCTTCATTAGTTATATTTTATGCAAGAAATTGGAGAGATATATATGTACCTGATTCTCTTAAATTTGCAAGCCCTATTTCGGAACAGTCAGTGGAATATAGTGTCTTTCTCCACTCCTACCAAAAAAAGGTCCATAAGCTAATTTGAGGATCTCATCCCCAAAAAATTGGAATGCAACGGAAAACTCTTACCAAATCTGAGAGTTGGACTTTATCAAGGGATGAAAAATCATAATTTCTAGTCAACTCCTTGGAATTATCCCTTGACCTATGATTAAATTAATGATGTCAATGATACGAAACGTTGTTTTCAAATGCAGTATATAAGCATATAAGCAGAACCACATAGTTGTCGTCAACACATGCACATAAAACGTACTTGTGATCTTCCTGAGAAATCTTTTGTAAGGAGCCAATAACAGATTCAAATTTGTCCTTTGTTAGTAAAGCACATACAACATCACCCACAGCAACAGCACTTATGGAACCAATATGTTCACCATAAAGAGCCCATTCACCAAAATAGCTTCCCTCGGGCTTCTCTATTGATATTTCTCTTCTGTTCTGTACATCATCCTCGTTTTGAGTGTCAGGCTTGAGGCTGTAGGCATTTGGACTCATCAATAAATCAGAATCAAAAGTGATTTTTACTCGTCCCTTTTGTATAATGTACAATGCAAGGATTTCATTCTGCAAAGACATACTGAAGATCATTAAGAAACGAAGAGAGAATAAATAGATAAAGCAACCAACCAAAGCTTACTTTGTCTATTATTGTCTGCCCATCTGAGAAGGAAACTTCAGAAAGGGAATCAGAAATCTGACTGAGTTGTAAAATTGATAACCTTGAGAGGAGATCTACAGACCGAAGCAACTTCAATGATGATAAGTTAGAGAATTCTGACGTTAAAATCCCACGGAAATCTTCTCGCTTTAAAGCCCAAAGAGTTCCTTCTGTTACGGCACGTACGGAAGCCTGGAGTGGTTTATTGTACCTGTAATGCCATTTGGGGGAAAACAAAATGTCAAATCTGCCAGGCAAAATAATATTTTCGTAGCAGCTACATGTGAAAAAGGAACAAGAAAAAAATAAAAATGACATTAAATACAATTTTGCAACAACAAACTAAGCCTTGTGTCAAGGCACCCTATAAAAATGACTTCACATATTTTCAATTCAACACAAAAAATAGGAAAGATGCTAAAGCTAAGTTCTTAATACTTGGTTTCGAAATTTATATACTATTTCCCATATTCTGGAATAATGCAATTATACTTGAACTTTATATCCCTATGTGGATGACAGTTCTAAAAAAAATTAATATCTAACCTAGAGGAGACTTCAACGGCTAGATATTTCTCATGCTAAAAAGAACTACTTCAATTGAGTAGCAGAACACAAGATGCAAAAATGTAGGATTGAGTGGCTTACATTAGAGCAAGTTCTCCAAAACAAGAGAGTTTTTCAGCAGTGTACTGCTGCAAAACCCTAGGTACGTCCCCTTCTTTTTCTTCCTGCCATAGTAATAAATGTTGAACAAGATTCTTAGCACATCTCATTAACAATAAAGAAACAAACACAATATATTAGAAAAGACTAGGTACAGGCCGCATTCATTACATGACTAAGACCTAGAAAACATGATTTCATCTTAAGTATACCAAGTATAAAGCCCATTATAAGAGCTGAAATAATGAACTGGGGTTTAAAAATAACATAAAGCGGGTTTTTCAAAGAGGTTAAATCTTGCAGCTTTATCAGGAATGAAAAATTACTAGTTTGGAAAGCTGAAAAGAAACATTTAAAGAAGATTTCAAAGCCTGCAGGTGCCACAACCCTTGCCTTTGCCTCTCGCTAGTACAATTTAAAATATTTGCTTAACAGAATATCTGTGGAGTCATCACAAATCAATAAAACAATCAAATGACAAAGTTTATAAACCTGAGTCGCCAAAACCTCGAATTCTCCACTACCAACAACATAAAAACAGTCACCTTCACCACCCTGCAAAGTATAACTTTTGTCACAATTATGCAAAATAGAAATATAATCAAAGCCAGCACAAAGAGAAACTTTTGACAAGATCCAAAGGCATGTTCCATTCAAGAATAATAAACCTCACTTTCTGCCCCTAGAAATCTACAATATCCCCAGGTTGGACAGTGTGCAACTCAAGAATTTTCAAGTTTCAACTAGAAAACTGACCTGTTTGACTATAATATCCCCAGGTTCGACCTCCACTCGTTGCATGCAATCCAATAACACATGACACTGAGAATCCGTGAGCTTCCGGAAGAGAAAATGATCGTGCAATGCCTGCTCTATGTGTGCCTGTGGCATATGAAGATGAAGTACCATCAAAGATTGACAATCTTTAAACTTGCCAGTGGGAGAAACTAAAATTATGACTTTATATTAGCATACCAATGTTTTTATCAATCTAAATAAATAAAAAATGAAAAATAGAAGAGCTAAATCAATTGTAAAAGCAAAAGATGAATCAGGGGTTTACTTCTTCTTCCCATGTCTTTCTATGGGCTGAAGATGGAGGGACCCAAGCTTGCCCATTTTCTAGAGAATTTTCAAGAGCTCGGAGGCGTGCCCTTGATAAGTCATGTCTTACACGATGGTTTCTAGCACTCCAGCCGAAGGTGGAAGGGGATTCTGAACCTGTCACCTCTACAACTTGAGGAACAGGGTTTCTCAAAACATCACCATAACTAGCTGACTGACCAACAGTTGACTAATTTGAAAGATTAGATCAGTTACTAACATCGATAAATTAGAAATAAATGTGACAATTTATAGGAAAAATAGAACAATGTACAACGTACAATATAAATGAATATAAGACAAAATAAGAAAAAGTACCATACTTCAGTTAGCCCATTTACATGTACAATGATGACTGTAATGTCATCTGTACGAGTTTCATACTGCAGCCAGCGTCGATAAGATTCTGCCACAATGGCAGCACAAGCATCACGAGGATCTTTGAATTTTACAACCTGGAAACATAGTGGCAATTAAGAGACAACATATTTGACTTAAATAGGATGTTACACCATATCTAGGTTTAAAGTTGCTTTAAAATAAATTCACAAAACCTAGTTACACGATCAAATGCACATGATTGACATTTACACGTATCAGAAATCTGTAAGGATTAGCTTCATGATTTGATTTAGACTTTGGAAATAGTTTCAAGGTCATTAATGCATTGACCTAGTTTGAACATAGAAATTTCTGACCAAGCTTCTAGGAATGAAAACATGGCCAGTACATTTCCACATCAACTGGACAGCTTGACAGTACTATTCCCCAAAAATCTGATTATTTAATATCCTTATCTATCGTAGATGTGGGAGAAAAATTTACTAGATAAGCCTACACTTGCAAGGCCCTGAATTACAAAAAGTATGACGCAATTAAATAGATTGCGTCTCAAAATTAGGTTTCAATTAATCCTTAGATGTTTCAACTACTAGGCTTAATTACAGATAGAAATCGACACAAAAATTGAAACCAATTTGACCATAAGACACGACCAGTTGATTATTGCACCAATTGGATAATGTTCTTGCAATTTTACAAATGAAAATCTTGCTTGAAACAGAAAAAACAGCTTCATAATGAAAAGACTAATTTCTACCTCCCATTTTGTAAAATAAAATAAAATATATATATATATATATATGTTTGGGTGAATTATCACCAAAATGACTATTACAAACAATACTAATCCAAAAAATGTCCTTATTAAACAAAGGTTTTAAGAGTAGAAGGAATAATAGAGTAGTTTGGAACTGTATTATCTGATAACAGAGAGGTGCAGAACTGTGTTGGCTGGAGTATAAATTCAATTTCCAGAAATCCAGACTATTTAGCTATAAATTTCTTTCATACACCCTAATATGAAACATTCTGTTTCCCTTAACTTCCATGTAAGCACAGTAGTGAATTTGAGTTTTCTGTCAAAAAGTTCCAAGTTTGCATAAGTTGGGTCTCCTAATTTTCAGAAAGATTCTAATCCCTAATTCCCAATTCTAATTCCAAATATGAGAGACACACAGTAACCGACACTAATTGTGCCAGATCGTGAGTGCTACTGAAACGAAATGATATCCTTGCCACCAACTTCATTGGTACACATAAAAGCAAATTTCATCAACAGAAGCCCCCAAAAAAAGAGAGAAAAGAATATATGCCTTTGTATAAGAATAAAGCTGCCTTAAAAGAAAAGCAAGGGACATAATAAAAGAGATCTACCATACCATGTCAACCACAGTCTGGCTAGAGAGAAATTCAAACACCCCATCACTAGCAAGCACAAAGAAAGGGTGATCCTGCGTGAGCTTAAACACAACAATCTCAGGATTCGCCACAACCCCAATAGTCTCCGCAATAGAGTCACCAATGCTCCTGGTGAAAGCCGTCCCCGGGTACATCCCATTGGGCACCCACAACCTCGGAGGGTCACCATCATCACTCTCCTCAGTGCCCCAACACTGCACATCAGGGTTCTTCAACCCCTCAATCTGATCCAGAGTAAGAACCCTCGCCCCACAGAGCTTCACCCTCTCGAGCTCATCACTCCTAAACGGCGTCTGATCAATCGACAAATCAACGGCCACAATTTCCTTCCCTCTCCTCTCAGCCATCACCGCCCTCGAATCGCCGGAATTCGCCACGTATATCGTCCTGCCCCTCACCAGCACCGTGATAGCCGTCGTCCCGCTCATGCTGTCATCCAAAATATCAGCATGAAGCTGCGAATTCGTCGCCAAAAACGCTGCATGACAAGCCTCAACAGGATCACCACGGAACTTGGAGTTCCTGAGCAAATTCTCACACAATTTCCGCTTCACGAACTGCGAGCACTGAGCTCCAAACTCACCATGGCCGTCAAAGACGCCAAAAAAGTGGTCGTTAGGGTTCGTACCTGTCGAGATGAAAACCCTCACACACAATGAGCACCAAAGAACACAACACTCAAAGCCACTCCACAAACAGAAGCAGCCAAGCCACAAACAGAAACAGCTGAAAACAAAAATTCAACAAGAACAGTACCGAAAGGAGTGTGGATGCAGAAACTGTCCTGGTTAGCTTTATCGAGTGCATCGGGGTAGTAACCTCGCTGAGACAAGAAGGAGTATCTCAATTCGAAGTTCCCAGAAGGGACTTTGACGATTCGTGAACCATCTGGCGGAAGGAACTGCGCGGAAACCCTAGCAAGTCTTCGGATTCCGGCTTCAGAGTCTCGCGTGATGCTCAATTGGTTGAGTTGGTCTCTGATTTCGCCATCTTCGACGTCGGAAGAGGAGGGGGAGAAATTGGCGACTTCGGCAACGTCGGTGGTTCTGGCGATGGGGTCTCCATTGATGCTGGAGCCTCTGCAGTTGTCGCCTATGCAGACTCGCGAGTAAATGCAGCCCATGGAGAGGAAAAGAAGAAGAAAAACTGAGCAAAGTGAGATGCTAAATTTGGCATCAAGAGGTTGGAGGAGAGAGAGTGGTGTGGGTAACTAAAGTTGTGTCCTAATCTGAAATCTCAATTATTAGGATGAAGGAATTTTGGGAGGTGGGAGAGCCACAAATTGTTTGCAATAAATGAGCTTGAAGCATGATGAATGATGATGCACTTGGGAAGTTAATGGTGAGTAGTGAGTGGTAGTAGTAATTAAAAATTTGTTCTTGTTGATGATGCAGCGTGGAGAAATCTGTGAAAATGGGATTTTCAGGTATTGTCATTTGTTTTGTATAAAATGGATGTTTCTAAATGGAGTCTAGTGGTTGGTTGATGTGGGTGTGGAGTGGTGTATTTAAATGGTGTGGGTTGGGTTAAAAGAGAAAGTCAAAAGAAGAGAAAAGGGGAATTGAGGAGAGAAGCAATTTTGGAAAGGAGCGAAGAGAAGTGTTACACTGGAACTAGAAGAAACAAGTGTCACTGAGTTTTGAATTGATTAGTACCAGTTCTGATAAGATTATCCATCTATTTAGTGTTGAATTTGTAGTGTTTGATTAGAAGACAGAGAGAGAAGTGTGTAGTGCGCATAGGATGAGGATGTGAGAGTTTTGACCGAGTGTGCTGTGTGGAGAAGGTGTGAGTGCATGTGATATTTGTAAGGTGAGTGAGTCACAGGTTTTGTTGGTTGTGATCATGTGCTGGTGCAAGTTAACATCTTCACGCGCCAACCATTCTAAATTAACAAAATACACTATTAAAAATTTGTGTAAATGAATTTGGTGTTGAATGATTGAGAAAGTTGTGTAGGGTCATTAATTGATGGTTTGAGTGACAGAGTTGTTATTTTTTCATCATGGTCGATCTGCGATGAATCATAGCCCCTTCTTACAATATCTGCAAAGTGCAGCATACACACACCATGCATCATTCTTCCTCCTTCAATAATCTACTCATTCTGCCACTCACCATGCATGAGCATCAACAAGGATTTAATTTAATATAAAAAGTACAACCATTTTTAAGAAGTATATTTGTTTGGTATAAAAGGATATGGTGTAAATGGTGATTGATCACATCCACAATCATTCCTTATGACACATCATTTCCTTTTCTAGTTTCTCAGGTGGTCCTCACTTCCTTTTCTCCCTCTCATCTTCTAACCTTAATGCTCATCCATTTTATCTATCAAAAAACATCATTGGACACTTTTTGGGGCATCAAAGATATTTCCTTCAATCAATTTAATTCAATGCAAATAATGGTAATTGAATTGCAAAAGTGAATGCTTATTATTGTACAATAATAATGTATCAATATTTTATTCATCTACTTTGAAATCTTGAAAGAATGTTTTAGAATTTATATTTTCATTCATTCGTTCACCAGAGTCACATCACCTTTAGACAAAACTCATCTCACACACCACCCACCATTAATTACCTTCTCATCTCAACACCTCACCATTTTATGCCTTTCTCTACCATATGCACATCACAAGGTTCTATTAAATTTTGCATTTTTGGTTTTCATGTGAAATTTTGTAATCACAATCTCAAATAAACATATGCATAGTGTTGGGCTAATGAAATGCTTTTCTATAGTCAAATTCGGCCCAAAATATTTTTTATTCATTAATAATATTTTTTAGAAATTAAAATAAGTAATTGATTGATAAAAAAATTAAGTTTTTGAGCGTAATTAAATATATGACTTTCCTAAACTCAAATATGAATTGGAATTAAATATATGATAATTTATATAAATATAGTTCTCATCCATGTCAAAGAACATGGTCATGGAAGAAGAAGAAAACTAAAACATAATTGTAGAAAAACGATTACAGAAACAGAGATTATTCTTCTTATTGATATATGTTCAAAGACTCAAAATCATACACCTCATCTCATTTTCTCGTATGTAATAACAAAGGATAACTTGTTGGTTATTCCATGGCGGAAGATCCGAATGGCGACGAGATCGTTAACTTTCAAGCCATGTTGGTCGCAGAAAGTGAACCACCCTCGATTAAGCACAAAGAAGGAGGTTCGATATTTCACCCATTTCTTGAGCGTCATTTCAAACTCCCGGCCACCCTTACCATACACGTTGACTTTGATTCCTTGTGTAACATCTTCGTCACCTTCTCTGAGGTACCCTGAGAGGGTTTCTTCAAAGGTAGGCATACGCAAGACCAGCTTCCACTTGTCAACGGTCAATTCAGCCCAGAATGCCTCGCTCAACTCACACTCTTTCACAATTCCACCATTGATAATGAACTTCAATTGTTGCTCCTCCGAGACTGCACTCGATTTTCTCACATTATTCTCTGCAACTCCTTCAGGTTCTTGATGAGTTGATAAGCCATCTTCCATTTTTTTTTTCTCTTCGTCTCAAGAACAAGGAAGAACACAAATCTTGATTCTTTCTCTTTTCGAAGAGTAACCCTTTTTTAAGGATAATAAAGCAAAAAGGTTTTGTTGTGTAATGTAAGGGTAAAATCGCAATGTATATATATACACTACACCCTCCTTCATTAGTCTCATTTTATTGAATGTTAAGAAAATTTTAATACAAATAACTACTGTAATTATTAATATGGCTAATTGCTAATATTATATCACTATTAATTTAACAAAATTTCATTTTGTATATATTACAAATAATAATCCTTTGTCGAATGAAATTTGATTATTGTCTTAACATAATTTATTAATATTAATTTATTTATTCTAATTCTTGAATTATAAATTTCTTAATTTTTTAAAGTTTTGTGTGCTTTTAAATATATATATATATATTAGTCATAGAAAGTAATATCCATAACTAAAATTATTCACAATTGTACTGTGAATATTAATTATATCAACCATTATATTATTTAATATCTATTTTAGTACTTTTAATAGTTAGATTAGAAGTAAACGGTTTGTGAAATAGTTCATTGTTTTTATAGAACTTAACTGAAACAATAAAAACTTTTTTATTCTCTGGTTAACTTATTTATGTATGGTTTCCAGGAATTAATTATTGGTGTCGATTGTAAAGATTTTGAATTTGATCAAACTCGGTTTTAATATAATTTTAAAATATTTTATTCTTCTTTGCTCAAATAGCGTATCTTCATTGTTTATAATATATATAATGAATGATTGACTAAAAAACGATTTACTTATCTAATTTTAATTTAAAATTTATTGTTAAAAAAATAATATTTTTTTAAACCCTTAAGTTAAAAAGAGTTTCCCACCTTATCTAATTTTATTATAGAAATTTTTAGACCAATGATTAGAACATGCAAATCTATAAATATTTTTTCTTGTAGTGTTACGTTGATCAAGAGTCCAAACCAATTCTTAATTCATTGAAGAGTTTTTTTAAGGATAAAATTATTATGAATTACAATTTTAATATTAAATCAATCTTCAACCTGTATTTGTAGTAAACTAAATATAAATAATTTAATTAAGTTGTGATATAACGAAAATTAATAGAATTATCATTAAGATACTAGATCTTTGAAAAAATTATATAATTCAATACCTTCAATGAGTCATTAATTTATGGTGTTAATACCTTTAATTTTTCGTGAATAATAATGCAATCAAATTAATGTTCGTTAATAACTCATTTTATGATCAGATAAGATAATATATTATATAAGGATAGGATACGAGTAAAAATAACATGTATTAAAAGTATTAATAAAAAGCACGTGTATTTAAAAATTATCAATTTTAATACATTTAATAAGTCACTAATGTACATTGTTAATATATTTAACTTAAGAAGCATATGGTGAATAACGTAAAACTTAAATTTGTTTCAAGATTAATATAATATTTTTTTTAATCGATTCCATTTTAAAAAATTTCAATTTATGAAATTCAAATATAAAAGATTTATATTTTATGAATCATCATTGCGAGTTTTATCACCCAAAATTGGTCATATATTTTATCATAAAGTTATGAATTTTTTTCACATTTTACCAACTAATTATTTCTTATATTTTATATTATCATTGCTTCCAATTTTATCATTAATTTAGGCAAATTTTGTGATAAAAACGACGTCATATTTTAAAGACACATTAATATTTTGTTTCAAATTAATATTTTAAAAAGTAATGCTAATGATATTTTATATTTATGAGAAACATTCATCGAGCTTTATTTCAATTCTTAAAATATTAATCTTGAAAATTTTAAAGGGTAAATTAATGAGTAAAAAAATAAACTTTCATTTCCGTTACCTCGCTTTAACGTAGTATGCTTAAACTGATATTAATTGATATTGAATGAATATTATGTAAATTATATAAATCTAAATTAAAAAGGAAAAAACATCTTAGTAAAATAACATTATTCCTCTTAAAAAATATAATAAAATGACAACAAATGTTATAAGAGAAAAAAAAAACCCTAATAAAGAACCATGTTTGTTACCTCATTCTTCTGTAAGTAACAGCGAAAGATAACACGTCAGTTATGGCATGGCGAAACGCACGCAAAGCAACGAGATCGTCTTGTCCCAAACCATGTTGGTTGCAGAAACTGAACCACCCTCTGTTCAGAACGTAGAAGCGGTTCGAGTGTTTCACCCATTTCTTCAGCATCATTTGGAATTCATGGCCACCTTTGTCGTACACGTTCACCTGAATCCCCTCTCTGACATCTTCCTCTTCCTTCAAGAACCCTATTAGGGTTTCTTCAAACCCTTCCAATGCCAAGAACAGGTTCCACTTGTCATTGGTCAATTGCACTCCACAGGGCAAACTCAACTCGCAATCTTTCACAATTCCTGAGTTGAGTATGAAGTCGAGTTGCAACTCGTCGTTGAATCGGATTTCCTTTGTGGATTTGCTTCCTTCTACCACGACTTTTGTGAAATTTGATGAATTCCCCGCCATGGATTTTATTCTTAGTTTCCGAACCATTTAACTCCTTTTATTAGCTTCTATATTAATACACTGAACATCAATTATATTAATTTTTTGTACTATTAAATATTATCTAATTTTACTACATATTACTAATTATTAATTATATTTTAAATAATATTTTTTGTTGAGTGAAATGCTTAATTATTGTCTTAACATAGTTTATACTTGATTCCTTCCTATATTTAAATAATTTATATTTTTAATTAATTTCTTTGAATTTTTTTAATATAAAAATGTTAATTAAAGTATATAATAACTAATATTAATGTTGTCAAATTAATGTTTATTAAGAACTCTTTTAAGTCATGATAAGATAAAATATAATATAATATAAGGATAAGATAGGAGAAAAAAATCAAACATATTAAAAGTATAATTAGAAATCATGTGTATTTAATTGCACATTTTACATATCAATTGGTAGAGTTTTATCACCAAAAATTTTCATATATTTTATCATAAAGTTTGAAAATTTTCACATTTTACCAACGTCATATTTTACAGACACGTTAATACATTGTTCCAAAATTATCAAGTTCATTGTGAAAATATAGACTTCAATATACTGCGCCGAATAGTAATTGGGCCTATGTAAGGACTTCGCAACGTTAATCGCTTTATTGGGCTTTTATTAGTTAGACCACTCCTAATTGCTAGCTATACTCCCTTTTTACTTTTTATTGATATATAAATATTATTCTTTTCCGTTTCAAAAACTATTTTCTCATAAAAAGAAATGTAAATAGTAATCGGAGGAGCGTAAATAACAACTCCCCTACACTAGTTTCCGTTTTTCTAGCTCTACATAATTTATTTTTTATTTATTTACGAAATTTGTGATTAATCACCAAAATTAAAAAAAAAAATACTGATATATTTTTATTCTGAATTCATAAAAAAATTGTTTTATATGTTAAAATTATATAAATTCGACTAAAATAGGAAAAAAAAATACCTTAGTGAATCTCTTAGAAAATAGAATAAAATGACAACAATATGTTATGTAGAAATTCAGATATTCTTTTTCTTTATTATTGTGATTGTAATTAACTATCATGTATATGTCATTAAGGAAGAAAAAAAAATGAACACGAGAAAGGTAGTGATTTGAGCCAACCCATCATAGGATTTTGCAAGAATCTTTGATGCAATTTGTATGGAATTGTGAAGAAGCAAACATATACAAAAATGGTTAATAATTAAGAAAAAAAAGGTAGCATTTTTGTTACCTGATTCTTTGATAAGTAAGAACAAAAGATAAGATGTCAGTTATGGCATGACGAAATACACGCAGAGCAATGAGATCGTCTTGTCCCAAACCATGTTGGTTGCGGAAACTGAACCACCCTCTGTTGAGAACGTAGAAGCGGTTGGAGTGTTGCACACATTTCTTCAGCATCATTTGGAATTCATGGCCACCTCTGTCGTACACGTTCACCTCAATCCCCTCTGTGACATCTTCTTCTTCCTTCAAGAACCCTGTTAGGGTTTCTTCAAACCCTTCCAATGACAAGAACAGGTTCCACTTGTCATTGGTCAATTGCGCCCTGTATGGCAAACTCAACTCGCAATCTTTCACAATTCCTGCATTGAGAATGAACTCCAACTGCCACTCGTCGTTGAGTAGGATTTCGTTTGTGCGTTTGCTTCCTTCGATCATGGGTTGTGCCGAACTTGATGAACTATCTGCCATGGACACGATTCTTGGTGTTTTCTTTATCAACTGCGTTGTTCCTTGGAACAATGTGAATAAATATCACTCAAATTAATTAATTGCTTTTTATGCCCTACGTCATTCAAATTTTTCATTTTAACACTTTAAGATCTGTTTTAATTATTTCAAAGATTTTGTGTAGATTTATTTAAGGATTTTTTATTTTAATTTTAAAAATAAGAGAAGGTTTAAATTTAAAGATATTATTTTTATTTTAGATGTTTATTTTCTCTTTTATGAATATAAGGCGTATAAATAATAACAAAAAATAATGATCAATTCAAATAGGTGGAATATTTTTAATAGTAAATTAAATTTAACTCCATCTAATTAATTTTATTATTTATTGAGTTGGATATTGAATTTTAATATTAAACTCACGAATAATTTAATTCATATTTTCTTTATTATTTGTATATACTTTGTAAACAACATAAATTGAAAAAACCACATATATTAACACCATTTTTTCCCCTTTATTCCCTTTATTGCCTTCTTTTCTATTCTTATTTTCTCGCCCACATCATCTCATCATAGACTCTCTCTTTTTTTTTAATTTAAATTTTGGTTCAATTTGTTTAAACATTTTATTTAATAAAAATATATTCCAAAATTGTATCAAAATGCTTTAGTAAAGGAAAACGTATTATTTTTAACTTGATAAAATAATTTTTATTTTGAATATCCATTAATCTAATTAAACTCAATTTATTAATCAAATTTATTTGATTCAAAGTTCATTGAAAATATACAATTTCAATTCAAAATAACACGTGTTTTAAAACTCAACCCAATTTTATAAGGGTTAGATAAATTTCCGACAAAACAAGCATTTCCTTGACAGTTTATAGAAATAAAAAGAAAATTATCTTTAAAAAAACACAATCTAATGAATTGTTTCTTTAACTAGCTCGATCTTGTAAGCAGAAGAAAAAAAGGTATTAAATTTTTTAATATTTTTGATATCTTTTTCTGATTAGAATTTGTCATAAAAATAAAATAAAGAGTAGCTTTCAAATTATATCATATTTAGTTGTAAAACACTATCTTTCGAATTTGGAACTATCATACGCAGTTATTGATTACCGAGTTGAGGGATTAGATTTTCTAATAATTTTTATGTTTCATTTAATTTTAAGTTCTCGATTAAGGTTTCATATTCAATATAGTTGATTGCATTCATTGATTTTAAACCGTCATAAATTTTGGAATGTGATAACAGTCAAGTTTCCTGATATATATTTTGACAATATTTAATATTTAATAAATTATTTATTCATGATTAAGACCTGTCCTAAATTTGAACTTTGACTTCCAATAATCATGGAATTCAAAAAATAAGATTCCACTAAGTATGATACAATTAATGTCAAAGCATGAATCCTCTAAAAGTTCATGATGAGGGAAGGTTTCAATCCTTAAAAAAAAAGACCTAGGTAAAGAAAACATAAGATTTGAGAACTTTTCCAAAAAACATACATCTAGGAAGTTTGTCAAAAAAGCATAAACCTGGTACGTAGTTTTTCTTAAAAACAAAGAAGTTTAGGTTATAAAACACAAAACCTTGGCAAATTTCTTCATAAGACCAGAGTATTTTACATAAAAAAACATGTGATATAGGGATTTTCTTTAAAAATGAGACCTTGGGCTGTTTACATAAAAATGTAATGCCTGAGTAGATATTTGTTTCTCTGTAAAAGATAATATATAGCAGATAATATCAAGAAACGACAATTTCTAAGAAAAACCTAGGCTTGGTAACACTTGAAAGATTAAAATTGCTATATAGGACCTACACAGTAAACAAACACAGCAACATGACTCTAGATACAATACAAGAATGTTAGGATATTCAGCTTATACTGAATATAACTTGTTGTCAAACTAGTTCTGTATTTGTTTTCTGCCATTGTTGGATCATACTAGAATGGTATTTGTTTATGACACGATGAATTTCTTCCCCAACACTTGATAACGGAACTGATGGTTGTGTTGAGTTTCTGGCATTACCATAGCATTATACAAGGTGGGAAGTTGTGGTTGTGGTCTTAACAAAAATTTAAACTAAAGAATTCTGTGTTCTCCTAAGGTCGATCAAATATATATATATATATATATATATATATATATATATATATATATATATATATATATATATATATATATATATATTTATGTTAATTGTCCTTCTTGTTTGTCTTTTAAGTCTCATTTGTCATTTTGGTTTGGTGATGAAAGAATGTTTATCCTCTTGGTTTTTTTAACAAAGTTCAAAAACCAAGATCATCTTTACTAACAGTCAGAAAATATTTTCTTTTGATATTAGCGAAATGAGTTTTGTTTCTCTTCCAGAACAATCATAAAAAATAGAGAAAAGCGAGAACAAATTATTTAACTGATGAAGAAACTAATAATCATACACAGTGGTTGGAATGAAAATCGATAAAACAATCACATTCGGTTCTTTTATTCATAGCTTCTTTGTAACAACAGTGATACAAATAAGCACGTTTATTGAGTAAACTAAAAGGCCACATGGCTTATTAACAAACTGTAAAATGTGCATTGCAAAGACCCTTATACACCTTAATCTTCTTCCTGTTGCTTACCTCATTTTTGTGTAAGTAACAACGATGGATAACTTGTCAGTTATTGCATGGCGAAAAGTTCGCAATGCAACAACATCGTTTTCCTGCAAGCGCTTTTGGTCGCAGAAATTGAACCACCCTCGATTCAGCACATAGTAAGTGACGGAATCTTTGTCAAATTTCTTGAGCATCATCGGGAACTCATGTCCCCCTTTGTCGTACACGGTCACTGGGAGTCCCTCTTTGACATCTTCATCCTCTTTCAGGAACTGCAACAGGATTTCTTCGAAGAAGGGCACACGCAGGAACAGGTTCCACTTGTCGTTGGTCAACTGTGCCCTATATGGCATGCTCAACTCGAAGTCTTTCACATGGCCAACGTTGAACACGAACTCCAGCTGCAACTCATCCTTGTACAGAAACTCTCTCTCAGATTCTCTCTCTTCAGCAATGCTTTTTCCCTTCCCTGCATCATTTGACGAGCTTGCCATTGTTTTCTTCTTGGAACACAAATGTTAGCTAGCTGCAATGTGTAGGTTATGGCACATTGCCAATATTTATATATACATGACAACATGTACGTATACCTCTCACTTCCACTGTCTGACCAATGTTGCCATTGGTATATTCTGATCCAGCCACCTGATATGCAATTTTCCTTATCAGGTTAGAAAATCTTGAGGCATGTGTTCTTTACAAGTGTTGACCAACCTTCGTAGATAATAAGTGTGATGCATGAATTTTATTCTAAAAAGTTTGAAACTATACAATACCCTAATTAATTAACCACCAAATGAGTTTTACATTAGAAAATTTACATTTTTCTATCATACTTCTTCTGCTATATTTTATCCCTTAAGTTGGGTAGTGTTTAAGATTGTTTAGATGCTAATTAAACAAGTTTTATACTTGATTCCTATTTTAATATAATTCATCTATTTTTTTATTCGGTTAATTTTGAATTGCAAAATTGTTAATTGAATTTTCAGAATTAATTAATTATAACTTAGATCTCATTTTTTATTAGATCTCAAATTGTTCTCTGTAGTAATTCATTCAATCACCTGTAACATAGATCTCATTTTTTATTACATCTCAAATTGCATTTTTTTAAAACCTTGTTTTCAAAATGACAATGGTTACAAATAATGATTAAATACATGCAATTAGAAATAGTCAATTATTTATTTAATGTTTTCTTAAGGAAATAGTTTATGTTGTTAATATTTCTTTCAATAAAAATTAATGTCTATTAAAACTATTTGTTTTAAGATTAATATAACTTTTTTGACTCATTCTATTTTAAAATTTTCAACTACATAGTTGATATTCAAATAAATAAAGTAAAAAGTGATTTCATATTTTAAATTTGTTTAATTAATCTATTAATAAAAAAAATGACATGATTAGTATATACTTCTAATACCTAGGGATAGGGTGACACTAGTATTATTAGTGTTTAGTAAAAAAATATTAAGATTAATACAATATTCCTTTTCAAATTTAAATTCAAAAAAAAATTTCAAAATTGATTTGGCATTATATTCAGATTAAAAATGTATGAACACATGCTTAATTAATTAATATGCACATAAAATAATCGAAACCAAAAAAATTAACTTTTGTACCTGCATTTATTACTTAATTAAATACATTTTATTTTCTTATATGAATAATTCTAGGAAACTTGTTTTCAGTGTAATTATATAATGCTATTAATATTAACAAAAGTATGTAATTAATGTTAATATGCATTTCAAATTTTGACTTTTAATTAATGAAATATAATTCCTAAATTTGTGCAACAATAATAATGAGAATACAAAACAGAATTTTATAGATTTTCCAATGAATTTTAGGAAATAATATAAAAAAATTGCTGAAATTTTATTTTGACCAAACTTGAAGAGAAAAATCATAGAAAAAAAATCTACAAAAATTATTTGAAATGTTAAAATCAGGCTGTACAAATTTTCCTTCAGCAGAAAGCATGTGATATTCAAGCAAAAATGGGTTTGAGAAATGCAAAGAAAAAATGTCCTAAAATTAAAAAATTAAATAACTAATCTGCAAAGGTGTTATTAAATCAGTCAAAAGGAATAATGGTATCAAAATAAAAATTAATGAAATATTAATATATATTTTTTATAACAATAATAGATATAATAAATTACTTATTATTATTATCATTATTATTATTTTGTTATTGTTATTATAATGATGATGTCTACTAGTTTAAGAAATTTATGAGATGCAAGAAAAATGACCCTATATTTTAACGGAATAAGATGGATATCAAATAGAAACTAACAACAAAAATTGTAAGCAATGAAAATTTGTCAATATATAAATAAAGATAGATGGATTAAAGACTTTGTTCAGGAAAAATAAATAAAAAACAAGTAGTATATTACAAACATCTGTGGAGACTGAAGATATGGAGAAAAAATAGGGTCAAGGATCAGACAGCACGAACAACGGTCAAGCAGAAACAATGGACAAGACATTGCCCTGTAAGAGGATGGAGACAATTGTTTTCGATAAACTGAAGACAAGGAATCAGTCAATTTCATAATTTTCTTCTGCACACAATGTTGAAATGAAATATTGGTTTGTTTACTATTGTTATTGCACATAATATTGTACTTGAGAGGCTTACACTGAAGAATTGTTAACAACCCTCCAAATCCATTTACTAAATCAGGAAATCCATTTACTAAATCAGGGAAAAGTTAAAGGATAGAAAAAAGAACCACTGCCAGACGTTGGTATCAACTGTGTCATTTCTGCTGCATGAAGATTTATTGACATGGTTGTTGAATAAATACTAATGAGAATATAGACACTACTCGCTGTTCTCTTTATCCTCTATGATTTTGTTTAAAATAAGACACGATATACTGTTTTTTGGGTGCTATGTGACTTAGCTTCGTGAAGTGCTCGCTTGTGTTAACCAATGATTCTGCCACGTTGAGTGAATGGAAAGGAACATACAAAGCTAGGCAAAAATGGCAGGTGGGGCATTTTCCGGTGGGACCCTCCAGAGGGCTGATCGTTACGAGTACAGGATTACTGGATTTTTCATCTTTTCTTGCATTGTTGGAGCTCTTGGTGGCTCTCTATTTGGCTATGATCTTGGTGTTTCAGGTTAGCTACCATCTTGCATGATGTTACACTCCTTGCACTTGTTCCTGCATAATGGTGAAATCTTTGATCACTTGTTGCCTGGTAATTACAGGTGGGGTTACCTCCATGGATGACTTCCTAATAGAATTCTTCCCAAAGGTGTATGAGAAGAAGCAAACACATCTTGCAGAGACAGATTATTGTAAATATGATGACCAGATATTGACACTCTTTACTTCATCTCTATACATTGCGGCCCTTTTGTCCACGTTTGGTGCTTCCAGTGTAACAAAAAACAAAGGCAGAAAAGCCAGCATCTTAGCTGGTTCAGTAAGCTTCTTTATAGGAGCTATTCTCAATGCATCAGCCATGAACATTGAAATGTTGATCATTGGACGTATCCTTCTTGGTGTTGGCATTGGATTTGGAAACCAGGTTAGTTTAACCTCCTAAATCAATATCATTCAACCATTTACACCCCAGATCTAGCTTCTCTAAAGTAAAATCTTAATCATTGATAAACAAATGCATAATCTTTGTAGAGAATCTTACTAACCACTTTTCCTGGTGTCTTCCTTTCCATCCAACTACGTTTTATTTCATTCCCAATCCTTTCATCCCACCACAAAGAACGGGTGTTAGTGTTACCAATTTTACTTGCATTTTTTTTTTTGTAATTATTGTGCAGGCTGTTCCTCTCTATCTTTCGGAAATGGCTCCTGCAAAGGTCAGAGGAGTAGTGAACCAACTCTTTCAGTTAACAACTTGCTTGGGAATTTTAGTTGCCAACCTTGTGAACTATGGCACAGAAAAGCTTCATCCTTGGGGGTGGAGGTTATCCCTTGGCTTAGCTACATTTCCAGCAATTTTGATGTTCATTGGAGGATGTTTGTGTCCTGAGACACCCAACAGTCTTGTAGAACAAGGCAGAACTCAGGAAGGAAGATTGGTGTTGGAGAAGGTTAGGGGCACCCCTAATGTTGATGCTGAATTTGATGATCTTATTGAGGCCAGTAGAGAAGCAAAATCTATCAAGAACCCATTCCAGAACCTTCTTCTGAGGAGAAACAGACCCCAGTTGATAATTGGAGCCTTGGCTATTCCTGCCTTCCAACAGCTAACTGGCAACAACTCCATCCTCTTCTATGCTCCTGTCATTTTCCAAACTCTAGGATTTAGCTCCGGGGCATCTCTATATTCATCTGTTATTACAAGTGTAGCACTTGTTATTGCCACACTGATCTCAATGGCTTTCGTTGACAAGTTTGGTAGGAGAGCTTTCTTTTTGGAAGCCGGTATTGAAATGATAATTTGCATGGTAACTACGTTGTTCACAAGTATTGTCCTTAACCCTCATAAAACACAAATGAACTTTGAAAAAATTGTTAGTGATCATAAAAACCATGCATTAATCAATAGATGACGTAAAAACATTGTTAGTTAACAGTTTAAGCTTTTGGTATAGTTTTCTCTGCCATAAATATGATATCTCTCTACTAATTCTGTTGCCAATTTGAGCAAAAAGTATATGTTTATGTGCAGGTTGCTATGGCTATAGTTTTAGCTGTTGAATTTGGAAAAGGCAAAGAATTATCATTAGGGATTAGTATAATTTTGGTCATAGTGATTTTCATATTCGTTTTGGCATATGGAAGATCATGGGGTCCCTTGTCGTGGTTGGTTCCTAGTGAGCTCTTCCCACTGGAGATAAGGTCAGCTGGACAGAGTCTGGTGGTGTGTGTCAACATGTTGTTCACTGCCATTGTGGCACAATTCTTCCTTGTATCACTATGCCACCTTAAATACGGAATCTTCTTGCTATTTGCAGCATTGATTATCCTTATGAGCTGCTTTGTTTTCTTCTTCTTGCCAGAAACCAAGCAAGTTCCTATTGAGGAGATTTATCTTCTGTTTGAGAAGCATTGGTTTTGGAAGAGAGTACTAAGAGAAGGGAACCACGGATCTGGGTCAAATGTATGAGCCAAAAGCTCAAATTTTGTTCATTGCTCGGATAGGAACATTAAATGTAGGACAATAATATATGGACACCAAACATGTAGGTGAAACCAACAGAGAATGAAAGAAAGAGAAATGAAAAAAAAAGTAACATAGGATGATAATTAATAGTGTGCATGAAAATCCATTAGAATGGTTCTGAAGGGAAGTTTTGTACTTTTCAATGCATAAACAGAGAAACAATGCGAGTGTTTGATTGGATTCAACGTGAGTTCAAATAATTTAATTTGTAGTTCATTAAGAAGTTAATTATGCTTTAATAATAGATATCGCAAACTTTAAATGATGCTCAAATGTTCCACTCCTCATTCATTCTTCAAATAATCTTTCACAAGGTTTATTGGAAGCACAAAGCATAGCTTAAATTTTTCAAAGTGTTTTTGGTATTGTTGTATAATTAAGTATTGTTGCTCATATGATTCCTACATTTTTTTTAAAGAAAGAAATATAAACTGCATAATAATACTGATGATAAACACAAACCCTCCATAAGAATACGCATACATACACCAACAAAAATCACATTATCATATTTGTCATCAAAGTAAAAACACTTAAACAATATGAAATTTTTGAATAAATTATGATAATCTAACTAGAATATAATCCATAAAGATACTTTTTTTATGTTTAAACTGCTATTCAATCTGAAATTAGTAAATTGCAACTTGATTTCTAACTAGTTGATAATTTTTACACAGAAATCAAAAGTTTGTTCTTTTCTTTTGCTGAAAATTAAATTTTGTTCTTAAGACAAGTTTTCTTACATTTTCGGTCATGACAAAGCGACGTCGTTCTTTCATTTCGAACAGTGGCAACAACGTAGTTATTTGCTCTAGCAAGGCTATACTGTATTCTGCTGCGTTTGATCAACACTACGCTCTACAGTTAACTGAAAAACTGCTGAAAAATGGCATGGCCTTAAGGAAATGTTCCTTGATTTTCCCTTTTCCGTGTTTTGGGGTTAAAGGGTGTTTGGTTAAGTTTGCAAAGATGAAGTCTTTGTAGCTAATACTGAAGATTTCTTCGAAATATTTTACTGTTATGCTTTCAGTGGCTTGAGTTTGATTCAGTATCGGGGGAAATTAATCGGTTAAGTTTTGCATGAAGTGGGTATCTATGTTGTTGCCATGAAGTTGCGTCATGTAGCAATTAGAAGGTCGTTAATTGTTGGGGTGTTCGTTGTTGTGATACTTGTTATCCAATGTTGTTGGACAACATATTATTCTCTGTTGGATGCTGATGGGAGCTCAGAGGCATTCCCAGCTGAAGTTTCGATTTCTGGAAATTCAGAAATTGTGGGTGTGTACAGATCCACAGGAAACAATGTCATGGTTAATGTCACTTTTGCCTCTCATTCATCAGAATATGCTTCTGAGAAAGAAGCTGATTTGGAATCTGATAGGGGCATAAATTCAAGAGAGGGACACATGCCCAATGAGAGTTTAAATGTGGGAAGTCATGAGGATGCCATTAACAGTTTCACTCAGAGAAATGGAGAAATGGATAACAAACACAATATTCAACAACATAATGTGCAATTTGCATCACAAGGGATTCCTTCTGAGGGCATTAAAATTGTAGCTGCTGATTTGGGCACGTCTGATATGTTACTTGTTGAAAAGCAGCTTTCAAATGGAAGTAGATTGCAAAGTGTAGAAACGGAATCACAACAGTTGAAATCTCCTTTGTCCATGTCGAATAGTGAACCTAAGATGGATACCTCATCAACCAGGAGTACATTGGTGTGGCCAACTTCAACAACACAGATGAGCTATTTGTTTCAGAGTTTTAATTCTGCTTCTATGGTATGGATTTCAACTTTTTGGTTCCAATTTGAGCCACCATGGAATCTTAATGGGTCCTAATTTTCATGTATTATGTATTGATGACAGAGACCGAGGTGGTCATCTCGACCGGACCGCGAACTCTTATCTGCAACACGAGAGATTGAAAATGCCCGCATCATATCAAATTCTTTAGAACTTTATGCACCTGTTTTCCTAAATGTTTCCAAGTTTTCAAGGTATCTTGGCAATTGTTCAATATGTTAAATGTATAGCATTGTGTTATTGTCTTATACTTTTGTTCTATTCTATCATATCAGTTGCAAGCTGTTCTGTATTTTGCTGGCTAGTATGTTACAATGATTGATTTGACTAGATTTGGAATCGCCAATATCAATTTGCAGAATTCATTTTTAATTTAATGCTACATATTTAAAATATGCATATTCTCAATTAGACTTAAACTGTACCAGCAATAATATGAACATCATTGCATGAGACTTCTTTCAGTAGGTAACTAAAGCACATTTATGCATTTGTTCTTCAGGAGTTACGAACTGATGGAGCGCAAGCTCAAAGTTTTTATCTATAAAGAGGGGGCAAAACCTATATTTCATCAACCAAAGATGAGAGGAATCTATGCCTCGGAGGGTTGGTTTATGAAATTGATGGAAGGAAATAAAAGGTTCATTGTGAAGGATCCCCGGAAAGCTCATTTGTTTTACCTACCATTTAGTTCACAAATTCTAAGAGTTACTCTTCCTAACCAGAAGCAGATGGAGCATTACCTTGAGAAATATGTGGAGTTAATTGCAGGAAGATATCGTTTCTGGAATAGAACTGATGGAGCTGACCATTTTCTTGTTGCTTGTCATGATTGGGTGTGCTTTCAATGCATTACTTTTATTATTATTTATGTAACATTTCCACAGTATAGTGCTAGTAAAATTCTCTTTTAAAATTGGCGTCCTTTTAGAAAACTTCTTTTAAGCAAACAATAGTATAGAAATTCAGAAATTTGATCAAATCATACATCACCCAAATATAGTTGAATTGATCATATCTCACCCAGAGGTTAAGTTATGCCATTGTTCGTAGTTGTTGAATACTTGTTCTGTTAAGTAATGGAAGAATTTCTTTGAAGTCCTATAACATCATATAATCCACGTGTTTCACTCAATAGAGTTTGTCAATTCTAAGATAAATTTTGTCTTTTGAAAATGTTCCACATAGGGATTATGTATCTAGTGAAAAGGGATAATGTCCCCATGCTATATTACTTCAAGTTTCTGAACTCGGATCTATGATGCACCTTGAGTTTCTGCAATATTAACATAGTGTGGTGGTGTACACAATTGCAGGCCTCCAAAATCACAAGGAAACCAATGAAAGGTTGTATTAGGTCTCTTTGTAATTCCAATGTTGCTAAAGGCTTCCAAATAGGGAAGGACACTACTCTACCTGTCACATACATACACTCTGTGATGAATCCACTTAGAGGATTTGTGGGGAAACCTCCTTCAGAAAGGTCTATTCTGGCCTTTTTCGCAGGAAGCATGCATGGTTATCTCCGTCCAATCCTATTAAAACACTGGGAGAATAAAGAACCTGACATGAAAATTTTTGGTCCAATGCCACGTGATTTGGAAGGTAAAAAATTGTATATGGAATATATGAATAGCAGCAAGTATTGCATATGCGCTAGAGGTTACGAGGTTCACACTCCAAGAATAATCGAAGCCATTTTTTCTGAGTGTGTGCCAGTCATCATATCAGATAATTATGTGCCTCCTTTATTTGAGGTATTGAAGTGGGAAGCTTTTTCTGTGTTTGTTCGTGAGAGGGATGTTCCTAGTCTCAGAAACATACTTCTCTCAATCCCAGAAGACAAGTACCTGGCTCTGCATTTGGGAGTACAGAAGGTTCAGCAGCACTTCCTGTGGCACAAAGTTCCTGTTAAGTATGACTTGTTTCACATGATTCTTCACGCGATATGGAACAATAGGCTTTCTCATTTTAGACCCAGGTGATGATATCATTGGTGTGAAAAGGTTCCTAGAAAATTAGTAGAATTCCGCATGAAGTACTACTAAAATGATGACTGAACAACTTGGTAGCAAAAAGTTCTTTCTCATATTCTCATGTTAGGAGGCTTATAAACCCAACCTGCATTATGAATTGCCAGGTTGAACTTGAACCTTATTCTCTTGGGCTAGAAGCCTAAAATCATTTTGGCTGTTGTGAAAATTTCCAAGTATTCTCTGTCTCTAGAACTTTCTTTGTAAAGCATGGCATCACTATGACATCACTATCTTATCACCATATATAAGTTTCTTGTGAAATAAAACTGATCAAATGAAACCACATCCTTTTCCTTACGTGTTTTTTAACAATGTTCAGTACATTACAACAGAACCGTAAATAATAAATTTAAGAAACTCTGCGATAAAACGACAACAACAACAAATTATCAGAACAGAACAGTTTTTTTTTTTTGCTGCATATGCATCACCGGTTTTGCCATTATCAGTTTTTGCCTTCACGTGCAGAAAGTCCAATACAAGCTGTGCGAAATTGTGACCAGTGCAAACATTGAAGGCAAATAGTGTCAACTACGAAAGGGAAGGAACTAAACAAATTATAGAACTGGGTTGGTTCAGCTAGATAAAGATAATTTTTTTTTCTTTTCAAATTGATTTTTGGAAAATATTGAAATGATATAAATATTTTGTATATATGGTTTTGAAATAAAGTCAGAAAACAATGTGTCTGGCTTGTACCTAGTCCGTAGAGTGTACAAAACTACTACGGAATCATAACTGAGAAGACTAATTCCATAAGTGCCCTGCTAGCATTCATTACTTATAGTACCAGAAGTTTTCTAGAACCATTACAATTTGTGGTAGTAAAATTATAATTCAGTAATATACAAATGAAAATTACAACATATCAAGGTCTAAACACTTTGATACATGCATGAAAGCAAATAGCTTCACACCAGAAAATGATGATCAAAATAAAAAGAGCATTGATTTGATGAAGTTTGCTTGTGTGTGAAAATGATTGGTTGAAAACATGTTGAAGCAGAAGAATTGGCATGAGTATCAGCAGCATTAGGTTGTACTAAGGGGAGGCCCTGTGCATGGTGGTGGTGGTGGTGGAGTTGCATGTGAATGACAATGGAATCCTTCCAAAACAAATGGCTCCACCACCATTTATGAGATTAAATTGTTTGGGTCCTTGTTTGTACTCTTTCTCTATTCATCTATCTCCCTTTGCCACCTTCATTTCCACACTCCATGCAATGCAATGCACACTTCTCTGTAGGTCCAGCCACAAAAAATAGGTGCACAATCACATTTTCTCCCCTCATTTCTCATCATAAAATCACTTTGTTAGAAATATGCAAAAATGAAAAAATAAAAATAAAAAAATGAGATCATTATTCTACATATTTTAAGTTATAATTCAGTTTAGTTAAAACAATAAATCAGAAACGACATAAATTGTTTCATAGACTAATAATGTAATCACAAAATGTTTCAGTAAGAATATACTAATAATTATGATAAACACTCGTTTAATTATTGATTGAAATTTAAAGTAAACTTGTAAAACCTCACTTCTTAACTAAGAAACTTCATTCATAATTTCAATGCATTTAACTAATAATAAAATATATATTAAAAAAATATATGTTTTTATCACTTGTCGTTCTATAAGACTTGTCGGTCTAGTATACATAACTGCAATTATAGCCTCAGATCCCAGAGTGGCTAAGTGTAAAATAATAATAATAATAAAAAAAAAAAAAAAAGACATTGTTGAATCAAATTAAAATTTATTGGATAAGGTAGGTATTACGAATTTAAAGTACCCACTAAGAATGAATATAGATATATGATACAACAAAATTAAAGAATTATAAGTTATGATATATACAACTAAGATGCATCATTCATAATTCATAAAATGCTAAGAGGAAAATATAATTCTTAAAGTAAAACATAGATAATCATGTTTTTGTAAGTGTTTTGAGATATAATTAGATATTAATATTTATCTAATTATTATTGTACTTATTCTGTTTTTAACAAAATAATAAGTTAATTTAAGCATATAAAAGATAAAGTATTAATATGTTTTTTATTTATGTATTTTTGCTGATTTTGGTCTCTTTATTCTAAAATTTTAAATTAATTATTAAATTTTAAAAAATATATAGATTTAATCATTCTATTAATTTTGAATAGGGAACAAAAATTGTTTTTAAATGTTAAATTTATATATAAAAATAACATTTAATAAACTTTGTGACGATAAATTTTTTTATTAAATATTAAATTTAGGTATAAAATTTTAAAATCACATATTTTAATAAAAAAATTAGATGATTGAATTTATCAATTCAAAATTAGAAAAAAAATAATAACAATTTATAAACATAAATGTGTTGATACAACAACTATTTTAAATCACAGTTATTCTTATAAGAGCATGCATTAATGGGTTTCCAACTAAAAAAGTACTGTAGTAGATATTTCCTCTTTGATCCATTAGAGACTTAACCAAATATCTCTAAAATGGGAACACATTCAAGATTTTATTAGGGTTAAATTTTAACGCGAGTTTCTATATATAGACATTTGGTTTGCATACATGAACATTCCAATATTTACACTACTTTTGATTTATTTATGAATCGCACAAATTAATATAATACGTGTTTCATTTCACTACTAGAAAAATGTCAAATAGTAACCGAAATCAGTGACCGAAAAATTTAGTTACTATCAGTGACCGAATTAGTAACCAAATTATAATTTTTTAGTTTAGTAACTGAAATAGTAACCGAATTTTTGGTCACAAAAAATCGGTCGAACCCCAATCTGAGGCGAAACCCAGTTGTCATGTTGTCAAACCCAATGTAAACCCAGTTGACCTCGAACCCTAGCCCAAACCTCAACGCCATTGAATCCAAGCGACCTGCAACTGTGGCGACATCAAACCCTAACCTAAGCCTCAGTGAACCTACCTCGACGACCTCAGTTCCAACCAAGCATAGGACATCACGAACACAGCCTCTATAAACACGGTAATGCTTCTTCAATCCATTTGAATTTCCTTATTCAATCTAGTTTTACATGGTATGTTTTTTATATGTGTTAATGGATGCATGGGTGGTGCTACAAAAGCAAATTTCTTATCTTGATTTACTGGATTGCAAATTGAAAACTTCAGTAATAGCTCCTTTAGGTTGGTATTACTGAATCTTTAAATATAATTAAGGCCACAATGTTAAATTTACTGAATTACAAATTGGAAACTTGAGTAATAACTCCTTTAGTACATGTTTCCCTATTTGCTCTGTTCTCTGTTTGCTTGATGAGTTTTTGTTATCTTCTTTGATTTATGATTGGAATTATGATGAAAATGTGAAAATAGATATATTGGTTGGGCTAAGAGTTTGTAAGTAATCTGGTTTAGTGAAGTGTGTAAGAGGGTTTTCTCTAATACGGTTAAGACCATCATGGCAATACATACTAAATTACTAATGAATAGGACAATTAAAAAACACTTAAAGGTTACGTTGCTTTCATGGTTTTGTAATACTGAAATAAATGCCTAACTTATAAAAATCATAAAAAATAATTCACTGATCCAAATTTGACAAATTATATATCAAATTAAAGCTATTTGAATCAGCTTTCCAACGCACTAAGCCTCACCCTCAAATTCGATCTGTAGATTGAGATATTGTCTTTGCAATTAACACATGTCATTACTGAAAAGTTACTCCTGGCAGTAGGCTATGACTAGATTCAAATTCAAACTGGGCCCAAACCTGACATACAAAAATTACAAAATATATATGAATATGAATATATGAATGTTAGCTTTCTAACCCAAAAAGAATTATTCAAAAACTCAAACCACAGCTCCAGATATCACTGATTTAGTGCATAGAGGTTAAAAAGCTTTAAAAAAATCCGAATTAACTAAAATGCACAACTAAACCTAATTATGTCTAAGTATTAAAATTTAATAAAAAACAATGCTATTGATCAAATTTGGTAAAATTTGTTTTATACTCCTTTATACATGTATTGGCCCTATATGTATTACTTTTAAACTTATAATGTATATGTGAATTATGGAATCCTGGACTACATTTAGGTGTGGAAAGAATGTATGTTAGTTTTAGTTCAAATTTCATTGCATGGTGTTATTTATGATGGAAGAGAAAAATAGTTATTACATTACATATTGTCATGACTTGACAAACTTATTTTCTTTTATGGTGGATATTGTACTTCTAAGTTTGTGTTTTTAACTATATTTTAGATAAAGTTGAATGGAAAACCCCCTACCCCATCAGAGTTGTTCCGCAAAACACACAAACGAAAGGATAACACATGGGTGGATCAAAGATCAGCACATGTTGATGTAAGTTCCTTGTTTTTCTTCTTATGTTAATTTCTTAAACAATTGTATCCTTTTTTATGTTTTTATCCAATTCATTACTATTCTATTTTAATGTTTATAGGCAGAGTTTAGTCGTGCCTGGGAAGAAGCCTCTCAATCAGGATCTATTGCAGGAGGTACTCCGCCTGATGAATTAGAGGTTTGGTGTAAAGTTGCTGGAATAAACAAAGGCAAAGTATATGGGCTTGGATCTGAGTCAAGCAAAGCAATTGGGAGAAATCTTTGTCACGACTCTACTTCATCATCTGTCCAGCTTATGAGGGAGGAGATTGAATAATTAAAAAACAAGTTACTGGAAGTTCAGACTGAAAGGGATGATCTCCGTGAAAGAATGTTAACTAATGAGAGAAAAATTCAGAAAAATGATAAAATGTTGCTCCTCTTGATGGAGAAGATGGATGTTCAACCTCCTGAATTGTGAACTGATTCTACTATGTATATTGTATTTGTTTTGTTAGTAGCTGACATTTTTAGAATTATGACTCTTACTTTAGTTTATCCTAGTTACTTTTTTATATTGAATTTTCAATATGTAAGAAAGCAT